ATAAAAGCGGCAAAGGGATATTAATTGAATATGGGTTAATACCCTCTAAATCCCAGAACTACATGGGCATTAAAACAAGGAAAACATCGAATTAAACAGGGAATGGTCCAGCAAGCCATGTTCTTCTTTACCAGAGAAAAATGACCAACAAGCAGCTATAACCATGGGTATTTCCTACCTTATGGGGCAACATCTTATCTTTATTTATTTGTACAAGATAAACATCGGAAAACACCGTTCAAACCAGCAACATATGAGGCGGATGTCTCACACTCCGCATGCCCATCGCATCCGAGAAGATAGAGAAGGGCAGCACAGAACAACGGCAGGTTCACAGCCACACACAACTGCAACGAGACGTAGTCCTCCTGCAGGTACTCTGGGTCATCATATGCCATCCATACCCCGGATATATCCCACTAGTCTATATAATTGGACTGCTCGTATGGTTACCCCAATCTTTAACAATGATATATAACTATTGTTACCCTGCGTTACCCTTCCGTAATTAAACTTGGCAATTGAGAATCGCCCGAAATCAACCACGTATCATTCTTATCCAAGTTTTTCCATGACAAGTTAGGATGCTCCTTGGCTAGCTTCATCAGAGGGTATACCCAGAAATCATACCCCCAACTCTACCCCTGAGTATCAATTCTGGAGACCAAAGCCCGGAACCTGCCCCAGTTCAAATTGATGTTTCACGGGGTATATTCTCCCGATCCACTCGTTAATCATCACAGTTTGCACTACTTGATCATTTCAGAGGCATGCTACATTTTCGAACCGATGAAACCCCGCCAGCGTCAATGGTCTTTGCCCAATATTTCCGCCGGTCACCGGTCACATGTTAACAAGTCACTTTGCCCAAGCGTTTGACCACGTTGTCTCGCAGGGGGCCCCTGACATAGGCATTGAACTGGTCAATGATTTGGTCATTCGTGGGGTAACTGGTGATGTGCCGAATTTCGCGAAGCGTCTCCTCATTGGGCAGATGCTGTCCCTTCCAAAGCGGTGAGCCCGGCAATTAGAAGCCATCAGTAATGGTTAAAAACCCATGGAAAAGACTATAAATTATGGATGATTCAGATCATGAAGTATTTTGGGTTGATTGTCAGATGGTCCAGATTCGCCGTTGTGCACTTAGCTGTTGGTTTTTTCGCGTGGTCACCAACCTGGTGGTTAAGATTATGATGATTCAGATCATGGAGTATTGACTGGGTTGATTGTCAGATGGTCAAGATTGCCCTCGTGAACCTCGCTATTGGTGGTTGAAATTCTCCCTTAAGGAATCATAGGTTACAATCCCAGTCGTAAGTGGGCGACTAACCTACTTGCCCCATGTCAATCCAAATTGATAAACTACAAAAACCATCAAAAACCTGGATTGATTTTTTTATCTAAGACCTGTATTGGATAAATGAGGACATAAATATCTAAAAACCAAATCACCATGGGATAAATCACCAAGTACAAGTCAAGAAGTCCCAAACAGAAAGCATCCTCTTTTGGTACTGAAAGTGTTAAAAACCAGTGTAGATTGGTCATAGGCTGGTTCTATCCACATAGCTAAGATTCTTTCACGACTTAGTGGAGGCTGCATGCAAAGTCTACACAAAATCCATCACCGTTGGTGAAATCAGCCCAGTTTTGTGACATATGGTGACAAACCCACTGTGCTTTTCAGAGTCCACCGTCCACTGGTGGATTTGGGTTTGGCCCAGCCGTGTATTTGATCCAGCTTAAACCAGTTCGAACTCGGTCTGAACCAGTTTTTTTGTCTGAACCAGTCTGAAGGAGATTGAACCAGTTTGAATCCAGCCTGACCCCACTCTGAACCAGCCTCAGCCAGTCCACCCAGTCATCATCATCATCATCATCATCATCAGCAGCATCATCATCATCACCAGCATCATCGTCATCATCATCATCAGCATCATCATCAGCAGCATCATCATCACCAGCATCATCATCCTCATCATCAGCATCATCATCATCATCACCATCATCATCATCATCGACATGATCATCACCATCATCAGCAGCAGCATCATCATCATCATCATCAGCATCATCAGCATCATCATCAGCATCATCATCATCATCACCATCATCAGCAGCACCAGCAGCTGTTGCTGAAAGACAGTGGCCGCCGTGTGCGGTTTTTCACATGTGTCAATTTGATTTTCACATTTGCAAGTTTCAGTCGTGCACCTCCGGATTTTTTCCCAAAGGGAGGTGAGGACATGTAAGCCCCGTGTTGGTTCCAAGGCCAACACCCTTATTTTCTTAGAAATGTCAGATGGAAGCGGCAGTGCAAAAGATCAGAGGGAAAACAAGCCTTGACCGGCAATTGCACCAGTGGTGAGTGGAGTTGCTTCAGGACACCCAATGCCGGCGGCTTTGCTCCCAAATTTCACAGGCTTGATGAATGAATCATTAGCCGACAACAAGAGGAAATCTGCACAAGAAGGCGGCGACTTAGACAAGAGATACAGATCAGCAGATCCACAGACAGCTTTGTTGCAGACACTCATTGCACCTGTTGAACAAATGAGACAAACACAAGTGCAAACCTTCGATTTCATGACTGGGATGATCCAGCATCTCCAGCAATCTGGCAACAATTTTGGTGTTCCACACCCTGCTGCCGAACCTGTGAGCCATGCCCAGGGATCCAACTCCATAGCTGAAGTCGTGAAAGCAGTTGCAGAAGCAACAACAGCTGCAGCAAAACCCGGTCAAAGACCAAAAGTTCCGGATGAAGTGAAGCAAGCCATCACAAAGTATATGAAGCGCACCAGCGATCGCATCACCAAAAACATCCGAGCCAACAAGCGACTTGAGATGGCTAAGTCTGACTTAGAAGAAATGGGAACTCCAGGAAGATACCCTGCTGGAACAAGACCAGTCAAAAGCCAGGCTGACATGGCTGAACTGGATGAGCCTTTGGATGAGTGCTCAAGCAGTGATTTTGTTTTTGCAGTCACCATACCGGCAAGAACATCCAGACGTGAAGCCCTAGCAATCCTTCATCATTCTCTGACAAAAGAGACCAAGCGAATCAACACCTTAGTGTTGGAGGAGAGGGTTGCAAAGGAGAAAGCCATGCTCAAAAGAGAGCAAATCATGATTGAGTGCCAAGCCATTGTTGACAAGATCCGTGATGTTGATCATCTTGGCTTGGATGATCCCATTCAGCGACAATCCATAGATGAGGCCATCCAGGTCTTGCAAGAAGAAGGATACGGCAAAGTCATCCAAGACATACGAACAAAAGAACAGAAAGCAAAAGAAGAAGCTGAGAAAAGGCCCAAGTAGAAAAAGAAAAGCAGAAGATCTTAGAAAGTCATCCTTTTGCGTTGATGAAAGATGCCGTGGAATCCATTGTGGAAGCCAAAATTCGTGAAGTCCAACACGAAGTTGACGGTGCCATGACTGAGGAGCACAGCAGTGATGACCACATCAACGTCGACATAGAGAGAGCTTGCAGTGCTTTGCAAGAAAACGGCACGGCCCCTACAGGAGGCAAGGGGACGCATGCCAAGACCTCCAAAGCAAAGCAACAGTGGCATGCACATGTGAACCCAAGAACCTGGAACCAGTGGCAGCAGCAAAGTCAAGCAAAAGGATACGGAAAAAACGGCAAAGGAGGATATACTGGAAAGCAGCACAACAGTTGGGCCGCAAAAGGAGCTTCTTGGACGAGATACTAGCCGACCTCTCGATTGAGGACACGTGGTGGTTGAGAAACTTTGAGAAGCTGGAAGAGCGGATTCAAGTGTTTGACTTCCTATCAAAATCGGTGGTTCCAGTCAATCTATGCAAAGTACCGTGGCCAGTGGTATGGGTATTGGCCCGCTACAACCGCAAGCACATTTGGGCCACGCGGAAATTGCCACCCACAGAATGGATGTGCTCGGCTTTGCAGGAGTTTTGCCACCGCATGCGTTGGAGATGGTATTTTCGCGACAAAAAGTCTGCAAGGCCATCCATTTGGTTTCGCTCCAATGCTCATTGCGGTGAAATCATTGACCCTGGCTTGCAGTTTTGGCTTGATCGGTTTTACCAGTTGGTGGTTGGTGAAACAGTGAAAGCGCAAAAACGCGCAAAGCGAAAGAAAGAAGCGGTTTCCAACATGTCTTCACTTGTGCGATGGGGCATTCGGTTGCTCAAAGATTCGAAGTGGAGAGCATGCTGGACAGACAAAACTTCTTCTTACGCACTGGTTGAGAAGAGACAGATCTCGACCATCCACGATGATATTTTGGACAAACAGATGTATATACCCACTGTCTATAACATTTGCATGGTGGATAGTCATTTCAAAGGGTATCTTGTGTAAAACAACTCAGGGGTTATATATATGAAACATAAAATACATGACAGGGGGAAACCGAATATGACAAAGAGGCGACCGTATCAGTATGTATATATATATATAGTAAAAGGGTCATACGATACGCGCGCTCGTGAAACAACGTTCTGAAACACGGATCACAAAAAAACAAAATCTGAAAAACTGAAAATCTGCAACGATGGAACGGTTGTCGCTCAACTGCTCCTTTTTCTGCTTGCTTCTGGTCCGGGGAGATTTCTCATCGTTTTTTGACTGAGCTTTGATGCAGTTGTTGGAATCTGCAAAGTTACGATTTCCAGTTGACTTTGTCATCTGGCATTTCGTTTGTGCTGCTCAGGTTGGGTCCCCCCACCCCCAAAAGGGATGGGAGGTAGGGCCAAAAAGAAATATTGGTTGCAAAACGGGTGGCGAAGTTTTGATTCTTTTTTGACCCACCTCGACCTCACCCTTGAGATGAGAATGGCAATGGACGAACGTAAAATGAAATGGGATTGTAAATGTGGAATGTTTGCACTGGTTACTTTCTTGAAAAGTGGTGCAAGAGAATTTACAACCTTTAAAATTGACAAATTCGTTGGAGCAAAATTGGAAGTTCCAAAACGAAGTTTGTTGGTTTCAAAAACCCCTGTTGTATTCCAAGAAACACCTGAGGGAAAAAAATTAAATTCCAAGGTTTAATTTTTTCCAATTGTTTCATCAAAGATAATGCTCTCACTTCGTGACAGCACTCATCTTGTGTAAAACAACTCAGGTGTTATATATATGAAACATATAATACATAACAGGGGGAAACCGAATATGACAAAGAGGCGACCGTATCAGTATGTATATATATATATATAGTAAAAGGGTCATACGATACGCGCGCTCGTGAAACAACGTTCTGAAACACGGATCACAAAAAACCAAAATCTGAAAAACTGAAAATCTGCAACGATGGAACGGTTGTCGCTCAACTGCTCCTTTTTCTGCTTGCTTCTGGTCCGGGGAGATTTCTCAACGTTTTTTGACTGAGCTTTGATGCAGTTGTTGGAATCTGCAAAGTTACGATTTCCAGTTGACTTTGTCATCTGGCATTTCGTTTGTGCTGCTCAGGTTGGGTCCCCCCACCCCCAAAAGGGATGGGAGGGAGGGCCAAAAAGAAATATTGGTTGCAAAACGGGTGGCGAAGTTTTGATTCTTTTTTGACCCACCTCGACCTCACCCTTGAGATGAGAATGGCAATGGACGAACGTAAAATGAAATGGGATTGTAAATGTGGAATGTTTGCACTGGTTACTTTCTTGAAAAGTGGTGCAAGAGAATTTACAACCTTTAAAATTGACAAATTCGTTGGAACAAAATTGGAAGTTCCAAAACGAAGTTTGTTGGTTTCAAAAACCCCTGTTGTATTCCAAGAAACACCTGAGGGAAAAAAAATCTAAGGTTTAATTTTTTCCAATTGTTTCATCAAAGATAATGCTCTCACTTCGTGACAGCACTCATCTTGTGTAAAACAACTCAGGTGTTATATATATATATATGAAACATATAATACATAACAGGGGGAAACCGAATATGACAAAGAGGCGACCGTATCAGTATGTATATATATATATATAGTAAAAGGGTCATACGATACGCGCGCTCGTGAAACAACGTTCTGAAACACGGATCACAGAAAACCAAAATCTGAAAAACTGAAAATCTGCAACGATGGAACGGTTGTCGCTCAACTGCTCCTTTTTCTGCTTGCTTCTGGTCCGGGGAGATTTCTCAACGTTTTTTGACTGAGCTTTGATGCAGTTGTTGGAATCTGCAAAGTTACGATTTCCAGTTGACTTTGTCATCTGGCATTTCGTTTGTGCTGCTCAGGTTGGGTCCCCCCGTTTGAGAAGAGCAGCTGCAAAGGGTTGTTTGAAGAGTCTCAAGACGACATTGGTCGGGTCGTCTGCTACGTCAACAACTCCGCCCTCTGTCACCTGGAATCTGCACTTGGCTTCTGAGAGTCTGTTTCTCGATGGCAAGTCTCTAGGGTTGGAGGAAGACCATACTCGTGCTACCCATGAATACACCGGCCAAAGGACTTCCAGGGGATTTGACTCAAGTTGAAGGTGACACCTAGAAGGTCAAAGGCTTCGGCAAAATTCAAAGCTATGTCTCCTTCTTTTGCATGCGCCCAGCCCGACATGTCCAATACAGCGCTGAACGCCAGGGTCAATACTCGGCAACCAGCATCTCTTTCCAGCGTGGGAGAGTTATCGAAGTAATGACTTGTTACTGCCGCCAGGAGCTTGGTCAAAACAAACCAGAGCGCCTGAGACACCCTGACAAATCCATAAGCGCTTCCAGTGCATTCAAAAGGCAAAGACACACTGCGGTAGAAACTCCACTCGCCAGAAATTGGGAAACCTACCACAGCATGTTATTTGGTGACTTGGCAAGATGGCCATTTGCTTGTAGGCCTTGCTGAGGTCAAACGGCTTCCCCTTCCAGTCACTCAGGGGCGCACCAGCCGCGGCAGCTCCCGCCATTATCGCCAGGAACATGTATGCTGCATAGTCAATGTCCTGTAGTTGTAGCTTGACTGTTGACATGTAGGTAGAGTTCACTGCGCTTTTCTGAGCATCATATATCACACGGACCTTGCCACCTGTGCCCTGAAAGAGGACGAAACGAAGATTCAACGACCACTCCTCTGTCTCTAGCGAGACTAAGATTTGTTGTTCCATGTACGGCCCTTGGAGGAAACCACACCTCATCATTTGTGGTATCCAGTAGGCCTGCTCGTCCTCCTGAGAAAATTGCTTGCAATGGCTCATCAGGCTCTTGCGTCTCCACTGTGCAGTTTGTAACAATTCCTTCTCTGTCAGGGTCGCTAGGACCAGCCGTTGATTGTAACCCGGTGAAGCAGTCTGCAACCCCACAAGGGGAACGCCTTCTTTGAGCAATGCACCGACCCCCATGTCCCAAAAACCAAGCTTCTGTAGAACATGTTCAAAGAAAGGGCGACGTTCTTCGATTCTGTGCACTTCCGGACATCTGGGTGCAACGACTGTTTGAGGGTTGCTTCTTGCTCACGCAACTCCTTTGTAAGCTTTCGCAAGTTAAACACAGTTGCCAAGCACTCTTTTGCCAGCACAAGCGGGTCCGTGTGAACGACCTTTTTTGATCGCTTCCTTGTAGCCTCATGCAGGTATGATTCATCATCCATGGGGTGAACAACTTTTTCAACTTTGGCCAAAGACTGCACAGGTGTGTGCCACACCCCATATTTGATAACCCCTTTGTGCCTTTTTCTGTGGTTTTCTTGCGTGCTCTCACCTGTTTTGGTGTCATCTGTGTTTTGGTGTCATCTGTGCTCTCATGCTGCTCGGTGTTGTGACCCCTGTGTGAAAGAGGAGCAGCCAACAAATTGTGTGACTCCAGTGGCGATGGCTTGTCAAGCCACATGATCTCGGAGTACTCAGGTATCCATGGTTATTGTCGCAAGGTCTGCTGCCCCAAGCCGAGGTTAAGGAGCTTTTGGAGGCGTGGGTGGACACTGGGAACAACTGGCAGTTGCTCGGCAGCCTGGCGAGCACACTCGGCCATTCTGGTGCATAAGAGCAATGGATACTTCCGTTGCCAAAAGTTTTTGCGCTTGTCACGCATGCTGCCATGGGCACGAGCATCCAAATAAACACTCTCCAAAAGGGAATACCATTTGATGAAAGGCCCATTGTTTGTCTCTTGCACCAGGAGCAATAGCAATTGCCACGACCATGAACGGCCTGGATTCCCCAAAGACATCAGACATCCAGGCCTGTAGCACCAGAGTAAGATGAGGACTGCAGCTCGATACTACTTATTGGCCAGGGTCACTTTCACCAAATCTGACCCCTGCAAGTGCGGAAGGCCCAGCAAGTTGTTAGCATCTCGCGGTGACTGGAGCCCCATATGACCCCCTAAGCTCTTTGGCATTGGTTTTTCGCGTGCCCTGGAACAAGTGCGCATGGCTTGGAAAACATGAACAAAGACTCCAACAACTCAAGCTGCTGTGCATTTGAAACGTCTAAAACCAGCGTTCGCACTTTGGTGAATGCCGGTTGGCTGCACGGTCTATTGCCAAGACCTGGAATCCCAAGCGCCTTTAATGCGGCTGAAGTCCAGACGTCCACAACAAATCTCGACAACCACAGGTTGCAAGGTGAAAGCTGTACCCTCCATGAAACCTGAAGGGGTGAAAGTGCTTTGCTCTGCGCCCATGAGTCAGTGGGGGCATTCGTTGCCCGGATGGTTCTTTTGGCAAACCTTCTTCCAGCACATGTGATAGCCGTCCCTACATCTTTTCCTTGGTTTCACCTTTGCTGTGCACCGTCCAATCTGACAACGTTTACACAATTGCTTTCCATCAACGAAAATTTCACAATTGTCGGGCACTTGAATGCCCGGGCCTGGCGTTTTGCATTTCCCCTTTCCTTGTTTGCCTTTTCCGTCCGTCTGGTAAGAGCCCTGGCCCTTTGGGGCCTGAAAGGAGCTGAAAGGTTGTTCAGGCCTTGAACTTGTAGGGCTCTGCAACGGCGCCAAATGTTGTAGCACCTCTGGATGCTCGCACAGTCTCGTAAAGGCAGTATCAAATGCCTTTGCTTCGCCAGTCTTGGGTTGCAGCGTGCTTCGAGTTTCATTTGACAGCCTAACCCAAAGCGCCTTGTCTGCATTGATAATCTGTTCCACTGAAATGCTGTGATAATTTGCCAGGGGTTGCTCATGCATTTTCTCAAGAAGCTTCTGTGTCCAAAAACTCGAAGCTGTGAAGGTTGCCATACCCGACAAATCATATGTTAGACTTCTGCGCAAAGAGGCCTGTCGAAGCCTATGCTCTCCAGTGACGTTGGTGTCTTCAAGTTTCTGACGCTTGCTAAGCTCCAGTCCACCTGACCCATCCAAAGACAAAGACGTGTCCGGTTTTGCATGCAATATCTCATCTTGACTTGACGTGCATTCCTGAAGGTCCATGTAAGACCCCACATTGTCATCTAGTTGTTGGCTAACCTTGTCAACAAGGCTATGAGAGGGCCCGACTGCGGTGTGAAGCTAATCCATGCCAGACGTTGCTGTTCCTGTCTGATCCTGTCCATCTTTTCTGCAAGTGGAATGTCCCGTGCTTCACTGGTTTCATTCCGATCAGCTCTGGCTTTCAAATCTTCTAAGGACAGGGCATGCACCTCAAAAAGGAGGCGACGAAGCTTTGAGGCTACCGCCGCCGAGGGAGCAGCCCCCAAGGACGTCGTCAAGAAGGCTGTCGAGGCGGACTCATCTGACTGTCCAGGTTGAAAATTGCAACAATAAGCAAACGTAGCATAGCAGGTTGTGTCTGCGGCCGCCAGTGCATCAATATCCTCGTTTGCTGTGCCCAACTCCAGAGCTCTGTCTTTGAAAGCCACTTGGGAATCGATCGCCATTGAGGTCCCGGCCGGAGGTTCAAGGACATGTCACAAAAACCGTGCATGCCTTGTGAAAAGAAAACTTTCGAAATGGGACCCCCCAATACACCTTCGACTGTCAAGGTGTGCATCTTGACAGAAAGGATAAAACAAACATTTCAAAATCATTGCAAAACCACAGGCAATGAAACAGGTGATTCATGAATGGCCTCAAGTGACGGATATGCTGTGACGTGTTGTTCACGCAGCTCAGCCCAAAAGATTTGCAATGAAACGCGGATGAATTTGCCCTTACAACGACAACATTCTGACCTCTGCCACATGCCACGTCATGCACGTTAGGCATTGGGTCAATGCCATGTTGCTCAGGGAGATTCCGGTTTAATTTGCAAGTTGTTTGGTTTGAGTTAATGTGAACATAAATGTCAGCATGTCACTAATGCATGAATTGAGGCCAGCACTGCTATCACTCTATTTTTCCTGCGCCTGATGCCAATTGCAAACTACCTGATAGGTCATTTTCTTCCGAAAACGTACCGTCAGCAACGTTGCCTTGTATGAGTGGGAGCAGCTTGCACAAGTCACAGCTCCCGCATTGCTGAGATCTTCCCTGGTGGCTCTGCGGAACGATGATGAAGCACTTCGGCCACACCAAAATTTATGTTGATCCACCAGCTCCAAACAAATGACCTGCGACTTGATATTGATGAAACATGATCTCTGTCAATGTCAGAGGTTGCCAAGCGCTTGAATGTTGAGGGCATCAGCTCCTCGTGCTCGCCATCCAAAGAAGCGACGCCGGATGCGTCTGATGAGCTGGAGGAATTGTCACTCTCTTCCTCCTGCATCTCACGTGCGCGGTCCGTTGTCAGTTGCAGAAGCCTCTGAACCCTGTCGTTGTCAGGCTGGAAGGTCTCCTGTCTGATCTTTTCGAGCATGATATGGATCTTCAGGCACAATCCAATTTGGTTGTCCCGTGAGTAAATCAAAGCAGACTTGTATTGCGAGCTGACATGGTGGCCCAACGCTAGTTGCTCCTCTGGTGAGAAAAGTAAACTCTTGGCAGCAGCCCAACTGAGCATGGTCGCCTTGAGCGCGTGGACAGTGAGCATCGAGGCTCGTGCTGCACCTACTGTTGGTTCCAAAAGCCCCCTAAGCCAGCAGGAAGCTTCTGCTGTTGACATCCTTGAATCTGTCCAGCCATGCACCTGTTCTGACCATGAACACAAAAATTGGGGCCAGCTTTCGCAGTGCGCCTGCTTCCGTGCTACCATCCAATGTTCTGCCCAACGTTCATCTGCCAACGTCTGACCAAGTGCTGTAAGAGGTAACAGCTCTCCCTGTTGTTCTTTGGACCGGGGCGGTTTGTGCTTGGCAGTTGCGGCCTCCCGTAGTGCAAGCTTTCCTGCATTCGACAATTCGCTTGAAACCACATGCATAGAGTCATGCCATCTTGCAGCTGCCATCATGCAGAAAATCAAGTGGCCAGCAATGACTTTGCGATGCAAAAGGCCTTCACGCAGGCAAATTAACTCAAGCTCTCGCACCTCAAATGTGGTGAGCACCTCTGCCGGCTTTCTCACCCCTTTTGTCAGGTAGATTGCATGGACCGCCCCCACAACACGTGCACTGAGCATGACATCGAGCTCTGTCTTGCAAAATCCCAACAAAGCATTTGAAAATAGCAATGCCTTGATGAACTGAGCCGGTGTGGTCAGCCCTGCTTCAACGCAGCGCAGGTGACAGACATACGCATAAATGATGTCCTCTGGTTGGTTGAAAGGGGATCCCAAAAAAAAAATCTGCAGCCAGCAAGAAAACCTCCACATGGAGTTGCAACGCTTGAGAAGAGTTCCTGAAGACTTAGGGACAAAGACATCATTGAAAATCAGTGCCAAGTCATCTGATGTGCAACGAGTGCCAGCAAACGTCACCAAAGAAAGACCCAACCTTGTAGCATCCACTTCAAGCAAAACCGTGGTCTTGTACCGTGACCATGACAGACATCTGTAGTCATCATCTGTTGTAACAAACCTAGCCGTCCTGATACGTTGCACAGCTGTCTCCATCTGTTTGATTTGTTTCGGGATTGCAGCTGCTGAGTCACCGGCAGAAATATGGTCTGCCATCCCGACCCCAGAAAAGAGAGCACCTGCTGAGCGTCCCTCCCAAGGCGCCTTTGGCTTGGAAAAGATGGCCGCTAGGGGGCTCTTCTGCCACGGCTGCTTCAAATCCGACATCTGTATGTGCAACAAGTGTGATGCAAACTCATCTGCAGTTCGTTTGATACCCAAGGTTACTGAAGAAGAACTGGAGGAACTCTGAGGTCTGGACTTCGGCTTTGGCGTCATGAAAAAAGGACGTGAGTCATCCATGAAGCTCATGTGTGCTGTAGATTGATTTTCAGCGTCAAAAGCAGGCGACCCAACACCGTCAGCAAAACCTACATGATTCCATGACTCATCAGCAGACCCCGTCTGGTCCTCCAAACATCCATCAAACAAACCTTGCTGCAGACCGTCAAGTTGATCATTCTCTGAGTCAAGTTGTCTGGCCAAGCCTAGCCTTTGCCATCTGTCTCTAAAACCACCGTGAATCACAACCATGTCCCTTGTTTGAGTTGTAATGCCCCTGATGAAAAAGAAACAAGGTATCAAAACCCAAGGTGACGATGACATTGATGCCTTCTGTGGGTGGTACAAGTGCGAATACACGCACAGCTGCACCAATTGCACACCTCTGTGCAGTGGAAGGGAGGTGTCTCGTCTGCCGCGGGCACCTGAGGCAACTGGATTCGAAAACGTCTAGCCAACTCGTAGCCCACGCTAATTAGGGTCTGAATGAGCTGAGTGATTGTATAAAGTTCCAAATCAGTTGCAGAGGGTGGCATCAAAGTTGAAAAATCCACAGGAGGAAACTAAGAGCACCAGCAAAATATCCGATCAAAATTCCACAGCAGAGCGATCGAAATAAAAATGTAGATGGTGCTGTTCCCAAAATCAACGTGGATTCCATTGCGGTGCGTCCCTTCGCAGTCGCAGGCCGGCGCATGCAACTACGTCGACGTAAAAAGAAATATTGGTTGCAAAACGGGTGGCGAAGTTTTGATTCTTTTTTGACCCACCTCGACCTCACCCTTGAGATGAGAATGGCAATGGACGAACGTAAAATGAAATGGGATTGTAAATGTGGAATGTTTGCACTGGTTACTTTCTTGAAAAGTGGTGCAAGAGAATTTACAACCTTTAAAATTGACAAATTCGTTGGAACAAAATTGGAAGTTCCAAAACGAAGTTTGTTGGTTTCAAAAACCCCTGTTGTATTCCAAGAAACACCTGAGGGGAAAAAAATAAATTCCAAGGTTTAATTTTTTCCAATTGTTTCATCAAAGATAATGCTCTCACTTCGTGACAGCACTCATTTCCAAGTTGCACACAATATACAAATTTTGGAAAACAGTCCGGAGCTTGGCGCACAACTGCGGAAAACTACGAAACTGACGGGTGCTTGCTTGATCTCCAGATTAAACTTCACCGTCAAGAGCCACAAGCCGCAAGGCCAAGTATCTGTAAGGAATTTACATGAATTTACATTGCTCAGGAAGTACAGCTTCAAAGGCGTGGGGTTATGGTTGCAAAAAAGATTGGCCAGCAAGCTGGACAACATTCCATACCTCATTAAGAACCGAATCCAGGTTGGACTTCTGCTAAGAGATATCTCCTTGAGTAGTGGCGTCTCAGTGCAGAAGTTCGACATAAAAGAGTTCTTCATTTCAGGGCCTTTGGATGAGTTGCAGCATGATGCTATGGCAATTTTCGAGAATGACAACAATGCTACAAAGCGAACAATTGCGGAAGCCATGAACTTGTGAATTTCTTCGCAATCTGTCGGCAGCAACATCACAGGCCGCTGCGTGCAAGTTTGCGAAGGTTCTGGAATGGGTTTGCCTCAAAGTGGAGGCATTGCTGACGCTGCTTTTCACACCAAGGCAGAGCAAGTTTTACTTGACCCGGTGTCCAGAGAGCAAGCTGGCATTTTGATCTGCGATTCAAAGATGATGGGCTCATTTTCAGCAACAATCGAGTGGGAATCCAACAGTGGTTTCAGCGCTTCCGTGACAGCGCGGACTACTTCAAGGTAATCTGTGAACAGGTTGTGGATTTCAACTCCAAAGAATCTCAAGAACTGCAATTTTTGCAGTTTCCTGCAGGGTTCGAGCCACACCACATTCCAAAAGTGTGGCTGTACCCTTGAGCCAGTTTTCTGCCCACGCACCTAGCACAAAGAATTGGCTAGTGGCACACCTAAAGAGCATGTGCCAACTAGCAAGTGACAGGCTGGCCGCGGAAGAAACAAAGAGACAAATCATGCTTCCTGACACAAGGTTCCCCGCCTGGAATCTTGGAGCAGATGTTGGCTGTTCAAGCGTGGCAAACTCTGGTGGCTCCCCATACCATGGCATCCTGCATGGATCCTGTCGAATTTTGGACGGGTGATCCGTAGCCTATTTGCCCCAGAGCACCGGGCCATCATACAGCAGGCATTCAACATTACTGACCCAAATTCAGTCCCTGTAGTACGCCTTGCTTGGAAAAACAGATTGCCACACAGTGGGCAAATGCTTCAAAGATTATGAGACTGAAGGTTGGCAGGGGAAGGTGGAGGATGCATCAGCCGCACCAGCAGCTGTTGCTGAAAGACAGTGGCCGCCGTGTGGGGTTTTTTCACATGTGTCAATTTGATTTTCACATTTGCAAGTTTCAGTCGTGCACCTCCGGATTTTTTCCCAAAGGGAGGTGAGGACATGTAAGCCCCGTGTTGGTTCCAAGGCCAACACCCTTATTTTCTTAGAAATGTCAGACGGAAGTGGCAGTGCGAAAGATCAGAGGGAAAACGAGCCTCGACCGGCAATTGCACCAGTGATGATGACTGGGTTGATTGTCAGATGGTCAAGATTGCCCTAGTGAACCTCACTATTGGTGGTTGAGATTCTCCCTCAAGGAATGATAGGTTACAATCCCAGTCGTAAGTGGGCGACTAACCTACTTGCCCCATGTCAATCCAAATTGATAAACTACTTCAAAAACTTATCACCAAGTATAAGTCAAGAAGTTCCAGACAGAAAGCATCCTCTTTTGATACTGAAAGTGTTAAAAACCAGTGTAGATTGGTCATAGGCTGGCTCTATCCACATAGCTAAGATTCTTTCACAACTTAGTGGAGGCTGCATGCAAAGTCTACACAAAATCCATCACCGTTGGTGAAATCAGCCCAGTTTTGTGACATATGGTGACAAACCCACTGTGCTTTTCGGAGTCCACCGTCCACTGGTGGATTTTGGTTTGGCCCAGCCGTGTATTTGATCCAGCTTAAACCAGTTCGAACTCAGTCTGAACCAGTTTTTTTGTCTGAACCAGTCTGAAGGAGCTTGAACCAGTTTGAATCCAGCCTGGCCCCACTCTGAACCAGTCTTGGACCAGCCTCAGCCAGTCCACCCAGTCTGAACCGAGTTTGAAACGACTCGGAGTGCTCAGTCTGAAGCTTGAACTGGCCTGAAGCAGCGTGAGCCAGTCTGCCTACTATGGGATACCCCTTGCGGCAAGCTTTCTTTCGGCACGCGAGGGTTGTCCCCGCGCACATCCTGCCATCACGGCATCCTGAACCAGTTTGAACCAGCTGCAAGCGTCCATCCATCTGGTTCCGAGGGGCGCCCAGAGAAGTCCATGAATTTTTGATGTACCTTTGAGAACCCTGGAGATCATGGAGAAATCCCCAGTTGATGGCGAAATTCATGGTTCAACCGTTCAACCTCTCCTTTTTGCTGTTAAGATTTCATTTTTTTCTATGGGACAACATAACTCAATACTTAATCGCCAAAACCATCCACAACCCATCATCTCCCCATATAATAGTTAACCCATGTGTACCCCATAAAGCCCTTGTTTCAATGCTGGTTGACTCCCCTTTTTTCCGCCCAAGTCTCCGGCAGCAGCGCGGTCACCGCTTCGGCTTCCGTGTCCATTTCAGCATCGAAGGCTACAGAAATGGCAGGTTCCAAGGCCTCGTCGAAAAGACTCAACACCTGGGAAGCGAAAGGGAAAACATTGGGATTCTGCAACATGTCCAGCTCCTGACCTGCCAGGTACCTTCCTTTGCCAATCAGCATTGCCAATCTGAAACTTGGATGACTCCGTGATGCTTGGCTCATATGACCATACGGGTCTGTAGGGGCCCCTTTGAACACTTGATGGTGCGATTGTACGCACACCCGCTGTGCATGGAAAACATTTGCTGAGCCTTGCGCTCGCTTCATTTGCTGTGCTGTTTGATTGGTGGGGCTGTGGAAACCCCATTTGGTTGAGAGCTCAATCTGCTACCAGTGTGCACCCGCTACACTGGTAGCGGAGCAAGTGTTGCTCCAGCTGCTGCGCTACTACATCCTCAAGGGATTGGCTTGCGCTGGACTTGCGGCTGTGCCAGGGCCTTTGAATCTCTTGCTGCTGCTGCAATCATTGCTTGAGGCATTGACGTTGCGGCGACAGTCGGGCTTTTGCATTTTTGGCTGCAGCTGACTTCTTTGTACTTCCAGGTGACGCGACCTGGGCCTTTGCTTTTTCCTTGCAGTCTCCTTTGGCAAGATGGAGAAGGAGCACCATGTGCCTGGTTGGGATGGTCAAGCCAAGGGCTGGCGCCGATACACCCGAGAAGTGTGTTGGTATGTCCGCGCCACGCCTCAGAACAAGAGGCGACATTGCGCTTCAAAGCTGATGAGTAGGCTGACTGGGCCTGCTAGGCTTCTGGCGATGTCTTGGCCAGATGTGGACTTCGACAAGGTTGGTGGCACCAAGGAGTATCTGCGTCGACTTGCAGTTTCTCCTTTGGTGAGGCAATCGCTTCCAAATGCCGCTGCTATTTGTCAGCAGTATTTTTCCTTCAAGCGAGCTCCAGGAGAACCAATTCATGCCTTTTTGGTTCGAGAAGCTTTGGGCTATAGCGAGTTTGTGGAAGCCATCATACGTCTTTACGAAGACAAGCATGGGATCAAACAGGATGACAAAGATTTTGGTCTGCCTTCTGATGAACTGGAGGACGAATGGACTCAAGGTGAGTGGGATGACTGGTGGCGAACGTCTTCTTCCCCTCCATCAGAAGTTCCCGAAGTTCCTGCTGAAGATCCACCACAAGCTCCACCTGCGGCAGCCACTGCTGCGCCTCAAGTTGCTGCTGCAGAGCCGGCTACACCTCCTGGTGACATGGGCTCTCCTACTGGCCGAACACCTTCGCGCCAGTCTGGAAGAGTGCCTCCACTGGTTCCTGAGAAACGATCTGTCGGAATTCCATCAACTTCTCCTGACGTTGTGAATGAACTGACGCTGGCCGATAGCTTTGTGCTCGGCGTCCTGCGTGGTTTTCGAGTTCTTCAAGCTGCTGGGCTTTCACCTGAAGATAAGCGTGACATTCTGGGCACGACCCGTGGCAGTTTAGAGTTTGAAGTTGTCACCCATGCTCTTCAAACCCTGTGGGATGAGCAATTTCTTGGTCGTCAGCATGGACGTGGCCAACAACATGACAACTATCAAGCTGAACACTATGATGAGTGGTGGCTAGATGGAATGGCTGCTTATGGTGATGACTGGGAATGGAATGGTGACGACTGGGACTGGTGGGACTACGATGGTTACTATGCCAGTCTTCCTGAAGAAGCTGCCGCAGAAGAAGAGACTTCACCGTCTCCTGAGGATGAAGCTGCTCTCAAAGAAGCTCAGCAAGCTGAGCGCGTGGCTGAGTCCTTAGCAGCCGAAGCTCAGAGAACGTGGAGTGAAGCTCAAAGGGCAACACAAGCCTTGAGGAAGGATAGGGGCTTTGGTCAGATTCCTGTTCAAGGCAAACCTGCTGGCCGAGGACCTTGCTTTATTTGTCATGGCCCACACCTTTCCAGTGAATGTCCTGATCGGCGACACCCCTACTACAGTAAGGGTTTCAACAAGGGCAAGTTCAAGCCTCACTACATGACTGAATACGAAGAGGTTGACAACTATTTCACTGGCAAGGGCAAGGGCAAGAAGGGATCGAAAGGTCTCAAATGGCTCGAGGCTCAAGCGTGGGTCAAGGGCAAGAAAGGCAAGGGCAAGGGTCAGTCTCGACCCGCGGTGAACGCATACAGTGCTGGCATGTATGGGCTAGAGCTCATGGATGTGAAGGAGATGAACACGGCTGCTAGCTCCACTTCTTTGTCTCCCAGCCAAGGTTTGATTGACTGCGGAGCGACTGCATCAGCCGGTCCTCTCTTGGCAGTTCAGTCGCTGATTTCTAGTGTCTTGGAACGTGACCACCAAGCGGTGATTGACATTCAGAAGTCCGAGCGACCGTATTTTCGCTTTGGCAATGGGCAGTGGGGCAGGGCTTTGTTTCGAGCATCTATCACATCACATGCTAGTGGTTCCCCAAAGACCTTCAAGCTGTTTGCGTTGCCCAATCCTCCTCAACTACATGATCCCAACTTTGATCGTTCAAGCATGGTTCCTATTTTGGTTGGTATGGATTATTTGGGGGATGCACATTTTGGACTTTGCATTGACTTTCCCACGGGCATGGCTATTCAAACCAACGATGGTGAAGCTTTTCAACTTCCAGTTAACCAAAAAGGGCACTATGTTTTGGATGTTGTTCAGCTTCTAACTGAAGGACATGAATGTCATGAGGGTCATGCCACCATCCGGGTCAAGGGTGCCGAAGCTGTGCATTCACTTCAATCTCTAGAATTTCATCCAGTTGAATACTATGATCTCACGGTCTCTGAACGCATGCTTGATGAGAAGGTGAAAATTGAGGCAGTGCAAAGACTGAGAACTTTGAGATCACTTGCTCAGCCTTCGAATGCTTCAGCATCTGGCTCAGCTCTCATGATCTCCAAGAGCAACAGCGCAAATTCGAGTTCTTCCAAGTGTGCTCGCCATGTCGACCTCCAAGGAGATGATCACTGCGGAGCAGTCCAAGCAGTTGACCAGCATGGCGAAGCAAAGCACACCGAAGAAGGCACCAGCTCAGCCTTTCAATCCTTCCAGAGAGGTCAGTATGGACCTGAGGGATCCAAGGGCCAAGGCCAATCAATGGCCGTGCTATGCGGCGCACACAGCGACGGGAGCGCGATCCAACCAGCACGGTCGATGGATCGAATGTGCAGTGTGCGGCCTACGTCTGTCCTATGTGCCGAGAGTGGGTGCAGCCGGTCAGACGACCAAGTGCGAGAATCCGGGGATGGTGGAAAGGATGCTTCGAGAGACCTTTGTGATGACCGAGGGTCGACGCCCAACCTTGGAGCTATGCCGTGCCATGCAGGCCAAGATCGATGCGGACGAGGTTGTGAATGCCCTGGTCATAAAGATCAACGAAGCTCCAAAGCCTTCCAACGTGCTGTTCCACGACGGCTACAAGACGAAGCCGAAGACACCCCCTGGGAGCCCAACTCCATCCTGGGAGGCAATCAGCGAAGCGCCGACTCCTGCCGAAATGGAAGCTCTTCTGTCCGAAGAGGAGAAGAGCAAGCTGAAGCAGGTGATTCAAGAGCGCAAGGGCCAAGCTCAGTCATCGATGGCTGCTCCATGTCAAAACGCCAACAACGAGGAGAGCGAGATGAACTGAGATTGCCGAGCACGAGACCTTTGACTTCAAGGGTGGCATCCAAGTTGATGAACATGGCTGCTTCTATGCTAATGGTGATGGCTGCCAGCACCATTCAACTTTGTCTTGATGGACGTGATGGTGTCTGGGAAGTGGCATGCTCGCCACACAGCTGGCTCTCCGAAGCTTGCAACTCCCAAGGTCTTCAGTCGAGGAGAATCAATCTCCACTCTGGCTTTGATTTGTACCAGCCAGCTACTTGGGAGCGTTTGAAGCAGCTCCGTGCTCAACGAAAACCCAAAAAGATCTGGCTCAGCTTGCCGTGCACCAAGTTTTGCCAGTGGACTTACATCAACTATGCCTCTCCTGAACGTCAGGAACTCTTGAAACAATATCAACGGAGAGAACGCAAGATGTTGTGGTGCATGAACTCCTTTGTCCGTGATGCTCTTCTTCAAGACCCAGATTGTCAAATCTACTATGAATGGGTGTTTCCTTGTCGAGGCTGGCAAGAAGCTCCCATGTTGGACTTGGAGAAGTACATCCACTCTATTGGACTTCCATGGCTTGACTGCCGAGTTGATGGGTGTCGTTACGGCCTCATGGACAGCAAGAATGAAGGCTTCATTCGAAAACGGTGGCTTATCAAAACCACCGATGAGCAGTTCCACCTCAACTACAAGACCAAGACCTGTTTGGGGTCTCACAACCATGTTTGGATCCAAGGGCCTGAAACGGCTCGATCGGCATATTATCCTTGGCGTTTTTGCCAGTCAGTGGCTCGTTTTTGGAAACAGCAGTTTCTGTCTGACAAGCATTTGAAACTTTTGTACGCCAAGGAAGACTACGCGGATCCTCTGTGTCAGTCCTTGGACGTTGAAGATCCTGAACAAGTTTTACTACCAGTTTTGGCCGCTCTCCCAGCACAACAAGAAGATCTACCAGATGATGAATCACCAGAAGGTCTTCCACATGAGAGGTCTGCCCAGCCACCTGCAGATCCTGCTTCTGATGAACCAAGCTCTGACGAGCTCAAGAAGTGGCAGGCCAAGATCGCGGCCTACCACAAAGCTGCTGGTCATCCGACCAATCGCAACTTGGCCCGCTTGGTCAAGAATGCTGGCCAACCTCAGTGGAAAATTGATGAGGTGATGAACTACAAGTGTCCTGCCTGTGAATCCATCAAGCCTGGTGGTACGAGCTCTGGCTCCATTCCACCTGCCTCTACAGCTCCCATGTTCAAAGCATGGCAAGCTGTTGGAATGGACACTTCGGAATGGAAGATTCCTGGATCAAGGCTGAAGCTCAAGTTCCTTCTGATCATGGACTTGGCTACGAAGCTGCGTGTCCTTTGCCACATCAAGACCTATGAGAACTTCAAGCAAGAAGGTGAAACTCATCAAGACATCATCAGATGTTTCTCTGAAGGATGGCTAGGTCACTACCCCAAACCGAACTTGGTGGTGATGGACAGCGCCAACACCTTTTCCACGCCTGAGTTCTCCCAGTTTCTTTCTGAGCTGAACATCCAACAGCACTTCATCCCTGAGAAGGAGCCCTGGGCGAACGGTGCTGTTGAAGCTGCAATCCAAGATGTGAAAACAACAGCTACGGCAATCCACCTCGAAGACACGGGTCAAGACCCAAAGGTGACGCTGGCTTTGACTGCTTCCTCTCTCAATGCCACGGAATTTACTGCTGGGTTTAGCTCTTTTCAATGGGCATTTGGCAGTCAATATTCTCTTGCTGATGAGGACTATCGGACTTTCAGCCAGCTTGATACCACCATGGACTTTCAACGGTTGGTTCAAGCTCGACAAAAAGCTGAAGAAGTAGCAGTCCGCACTCGAGCTCGAAGAGTCCTCTCCAAGCTCAGCAACACTACAGTGCGCCAGCCTCTTAGAACCTTTGAACCTATGGACTTGGTCAAGGTTTGGCGACGATACCAACCAGCTGATCAACATCTTGGCAAGCGTGGAGGGTTGAAAAAGTCTGGGCGACCACACTGGATTGGGCCAGGCCGTATCATTTTCCAAGAGGTCCTGCCCCATCAATCTCCTGATGATGCTCGACGCCATATCTGCTGGGTGCTCATTGGCAAGCGGGTCAGGCGGTGTTCGGTCCATTCCATCCGACCTTGCACACCAACTGAGCGTATGGAGTATGACCTGACCAGCGGAGAAGATGCATCGAAATGGAAGACATTGGCCGACATCATCCCCAAGCGTGAGTTTGAGGATTTGGCTGATGATGAACCAGGTCCTGATGAAGTTGAATGTCCAGATCTTCCTCTACGGCCAGATCAAACCACACTGGTTCCTGTGACGCGAGCATGGCGGAAATCAACTTACGGACCAATGGATTGGCGCCGAATTCCACGAAGCTCTCCACTGGGTGTCGGCGATGGACTTCGAGACACCAGAGCTTTCTCTTATGTGCCTGCTCCGCAACAATCAAAAGCTGCTGCCTCTTCTCCTGTTCTTCCACCTGCAGATGCTGAGCAATCAGCCCCAGCATCACCTGGCTATGATCCTGGCACACCGATTGGTGCCACGGCCAACACTGATGATGAGGCAGTGAATGACTATGGTCCTATGTTGGATGATGGGCCTTCCGATCCACCTGACTCCAAGAAATCACGAGGCTCCTACGACCTCAAATGGGTGGAACAACTTGCTGCTGAAGCTGACATGGAATCCAAGGCCTTGGACTTTATGGCCGCGCTTCAGCAGAATGATGAATGCCTGGTCTTCAACATCGACTTGGACTTTCAGTCGCATAGGCAACAGAAAGTTTTTTTGAAAGGAATCCAGTGGCGTATCTGGTTCGCAAACTCAACAGCTCAGAAGTCAATCTTCAGCGTCTGGGCCCTGCAGACCTTGAACTCTTCAGAAGGGCAAAGCAGAAAGAAGTTCACAGTTTTATACAGAACCAAGCAGTACGTCGCTGCCTCAACAGCAGCGAGGTGAAGGAGGCCTACTCCACGGGCAGAATATTGAAAGCCCGATGGGTACTGACCTGGAAGGCTGTTGCTCCAGATGAAAAGACCGCCGCTGAGGAAGACAGGCACAAGAATCCTGACAGCGTCGTCAACGCCACAGCCACCAAGAAGGCGAAGGCGCGCATTGTCCTCCTGGGCTACCAGCACCCCTCTCTTCTTGACAAGGGGTTCAAAACATCAGCTCCGGCGCAGAGTTCCCTGGGCAGAAATATGCTCTATCTACTCGCCGTGACGCACCAGTGGCGACTACATGGCCTGGACTTAGCGACGGCATTCTTGCAGACAATGCCTACTGAGGCCGACAGCAAGATATGGACAACAGGTGTCCAGGAACTTCACGATGCACTCCAGATCCCACGAGACTCTGTCTTGCGTATTCTTCGCAACATCTACGGGTCAACAACGGCCCCAAGGGGTCTCTGGCTTGATCTGCATCGTACCTTAACCTCCTTGGATGGCCGTGCTGCACTTGGCGAACGTTGCCTATGGCTTTGGTTCAGCAAGCACGAGAAAGACATCACGGGCAAGTTTCCTCGGCTCATAGGAGCCATGGGTGGTCATGTGGATGACTTCCACAGGATCGGTGATGACACATCCTTGGAGTGGCAACAGATTTGCCAGAAGATAGATGCCTCCTACAAGTGGGGAACTATGAAACGCGACAGCTATCGCCATGCTGGAAGTGACATCAACACCATTGAGACCAAGAATGGCTTCAAGCTGCGCATCGATCAAGATGCCTATGTTGAATCATTGCCGGATGTCAACATTGATACAGTTCGTCTTCGCAGCAATGGTCCTTTGACTCCTTCTGAGGTGGCTGCCTGTCGTACCTCTCTTGGTGGACTTCAATGGCTAGCCATCCAATCTCAACCTCAACTTTGCTCCAGGTGCAACATTCTTTTGACTGAGATTGTAACAGCAGGCACACTGGAACACGCGAGGGAGATCCAACAAATGATTGGCGAAGTGCGCCGTGAACCTCAACACCTTGAGTTTTTCAAGCTGCCAACTGTGGAGCGATGGAATCAAATGGTTTTCATCACTATGGGAGATCAAGCCCACAACAATCGCCCAAAAGGCGATAGCACTGGTGGACTTGTTACACTTGCTGCTGGACCTGAAGCTGTCTCAGGGTGTGTGTGTGTCCCATGATGCTCCTGACCTGGCGAAGCTGGAAACTGAAGCGAAAGGCCATTGCCTCCAACGACGCAGAGGTGCAAGCTGTTTTGGAAGGTGAGGACCAGAATTACCGGGTCCGACTTCTGTGGACTGAAATGCATGGCGCTTGTTTTGGACGTCATGGACAGCGTGATGACTTGATTGAAGCCACCGAAAACCAGGTGAGATGTATCAAGGGCATCATTTGCACGGATAGCCGTGGTGGATATGATGCGGTGGAGGTGAACGAATCCCCTCTCCTTGGTCTTTCAAATCTCCGAGCTGCCCTTCAAGCATTTCAGCTTCGAGACAACTTGCAGCGAGTTGGAAGTGAACTTCGCTGGCTGGCATCTGACTATGATTTAGCAGACTCAATGACCAAGAAGCGCAACGACAGCCGAGATGGCTTGATGAAGTTTTTGCGTCATTGGCATTGGAGTATTGCTTTTGATCCTTCTTTCACTGCTGCCAAAAAGAACAAGCGTGCCGGACTGACTGCTGTAAAGAAAGTTGATGACGCTTTGCATGGTCTCTTTGCGCGAGCCTTGCAGAATAATGACACAGTCAATGCCGCTTTGATTGAGCAGCTGCTGATTTCAACTGAGAGCGCCAGTGAGAGTGATAGTTTTGAAACCTGGCAGGATGTGATCTATGAGCAATCGAAGTATTGCTCAACCTTCTTTTGTGCTGGTGCAACATGTCCAGCTCCTGACCTGCCAGGTACCTTCCTTTGCCAATCAGCATTGCCAATCTGAAACTTGGATGACTCCGTGATGCTTGGCTCATATGACCATACGGGTCTGTAGGGGCCCCTTTGAGCACTTGATGGTGCGATTGTACGCACACCCGCTGTGCATGGAAAACATTTGCTGAGCCTTGCGCTCGCTTCATTTGCTGTGCTGTTTGATTGGTGGGGCTGTGGAAACCCCATTTGGTTGAGAGCTCAATCTGCTACCAGTGTGCACCCGCTACAGATTCTTTGGTGGGGATTTCAAGATTTTCATGGTGATTTCATGGGATTTTAGGGGTTTTTGATGGGATTCCATTGGATTTTAGGGGGAATGTATGGTGATTGAAGGCAATTTTTGATCATTGAATGATGACTTGATGAGAATTGAATGCGAATCTCATGGGAATCACATATTGATGGACGGACAATTTGTGTGAAAAAAGGAATGAATTTCAGAAACCTAGTAAGAAAGGTGGAATGCCAAAAAACAGTCCAGAAAATGGTGTTTGAAGTCAAAGATTGGGATTTAATCAACATCAATGGAGAACGTTAGTTTCCATGGAGGGTTGAGCAACAAAAATATATGGAGAACGAAGAGTCTGGGCCGACAAATGCGACAAATGGGGAAAAATTGCGGTGTCCACCCACAAAATAAATCCATACCTGCGACGAAGCCTGCTCCTTGGGCAGCAATTCGGAACCATGGGCGGTTCGTAATTATGGGGAAGTTGATGCCAAATTCGCTGAAATCATAGCCAGTTAGCCGCACCACGCCAATTGTTTCAAGAATTCGGAAGATGCGTCGTGTTTGACTCCAGCTGCAAATTGACTTGTAATCCCCGTTTACTGTAGATATCAATCCCTATAAAACCAAGTTGTTGGAATTATAGACGTGGCGTTTCCGAACTAAGGTACTCCCCCCTGTACTTGCTTAACCATCCTTTCTTGTGTGGATCAAAACCACATTGGCCGCCATTCGGTTCCGGATAGGCCGAAGGCGCCTGCTCCTCAATGGCTAGACGGTCCGTCTCCAGGGTGCACTTGGCATTGCGGAAATCGAACTCGGACATCCGATCCAACATACCTTGGTGGTCGATCCCCTGCTGAAGGTTGCCCTTTCTCAGGCTCTAAAGATACCAGTAATACCGCACAAGGTGGTGGCGGAAGTTTCAATAATAGGGCATTATAGGAGAGGTGAGTTGTTGAGATGCATGGATGGCAGAGCGAATCCACTGATGAACCATGATGAACCGTAAGGGTTGGAGCTGTGTTTTTTTGAGTGGTTGCAGTGGTCACCTCAACCACAACTGAAGGATGTAGTGTGGTGTAGGGTAGTGCAATGTAGTTGTAGTTGCAAGTGTACTTGTAGTTGTATCGTAGCGTAGTTGTAGCTGCAGTTCATGCTGTTGTAGTTGTAATTGTAATAGTGCAGTTGTAGCAGTTGTTGTAGCTGTTGTTGTCGTAGTTGTACTTGTAGTGTAGTGTACTGGCGTGGCAGTGTAGTGTGGTGAAGTGGAGTGTAGTCTGGCGTAGTGGAGTTGTAGTTGTAGTTGCAGTTGTAGCTGTAGTTGTAGTTGTAGTCGAGTGTAGTGTAGTGAAGTGAAGCGTAATGTAGTAGTAGTTGTAGCTGTAGTTGTACTTGTAGCTGCAACTGTGGTTGGTACTGTTGTAGTTGTAGTTGTAGTTGCAGTTGCAGGTGTAGTAGTCGTAGTCGTTGTTGTTGTTGTTGTTGTTGTTCTTGTTCTTGTTCTTGTTCTTGTTCTTGTTGTTGTTGTTGTTGTTGTTGTAGTTGTTGTTGTTGTTGGTTGTTGCTGTTGTTGTTGCTGTTGTTGTTGCTGTTGTTGTTGTTGCTGCTGCTGTTGTTGTTGTCGGGTGGTGGTGGTAGTGGTAGTGTAATGTGGTGAAGGGTAGTGTAGTGTAGTGTGGTGTGGTGTGGTGTGGTGTAGTGTGGTGTGGTGTGGTGTGGCGCAGCGCAGTGCAGTGCAGTGTAGTGCAGTGCAGTGCAGTGCAGTGCAGCGCAGTGCAGTGCAGTGAAGTGAAGTGTAGTGTAGTGTAGTGGCGTTGTAGTTTGTAGTGGCGTTGTAGTTTGTAGTTGCAGTTGTTGTAGTTGTAGTAGTCATTGCTGTTGTAGTTGTGGCTGTAGTTTTACTAGTTGTAGCTGTAGTTGTTGTAGTGGTTGTAGTGGTTGTAGTGGTTGTAGCTGTAGTTGTAGTAGTGGTAGTGGTAGTTGTGGTTGTGGTTGTGGTTGTGGTTGTGGTGGTTGTTGTTGTTGCTGGTGCTGTTGCTGTTGCCGTTACCGTTGCCGTTGCCGTTGCCGTTGCCGTCGTTGTCGTTGTCGTTGTCGTTGTCGTTGTGGTTGTCGTTGTCGTTGTCGTTGTCGTTGCCGTCGTCGTCGTCGTCGTCGTCGTCGTCGTCGTCGTCGTTGTTGTTGTTGTTGCTGTTGTCGTTGTTGTCGTTGTTGTGTAGTGTGGTGCAGTTGAACGCCCAAAAGTGGTCCGAACATGTGTGTGCTTCGCACCATAGCGCCGCGCACTTTTTCAACATCTAAACTTCCAAAAGTGATCCGAAGCTGAAGCGTTTTGCACATTTTGACTTGGAAACCTGCTTCGCGCCACAAAATTGTGCACTTTTCACCATCTCAACTTCCAAAAATACTCCAACAATGGTGTGCCTTTAACATGTTTACTTGGATTTTCTCTTCGCCCAAAACGGCGCGCATTTTTTTCACATCTCAACTTCCGAGAGTGCTCCAACAATGAAGCGGTTTTAGCATTTTTGACTTGCAAATCTGCTTCGCGCCACATCGGCGTGCAATTTTTCATCTCTCATCTCCCCAGATGGCTCCGCACCCGCCGCTTTAGCGAGCCTACTTTTCGACCCTCCGGCGCCACAAAACATTGGAAAAACAGAGTGTTTCGCGACGTTTCTACCTTTTCGCGCACCTTGATCTTCTCTCTTCTGACTCTTTTCTCTTCTCTGATCTCTTCTCTGATCTTCTTTCTTCTTCTCTTCTCTTCTCTGACTCTTCCCACCTCTGCTTTTCCATCTGTCCATGGTTTGTCGGAAGTTTAACTTCTAAACTTCCTTCGATCATAAAATAGCAGCTAGATATTTTGGATCACGTGTTTCAGGGCCCCAGATGTTTTTTACAGCCAGGGGTTTTCAGAACCACCGAAAATACATCTAAAAATTGACCAGCTGCAGTGGAATATGAGGATGAAACTGGAGATAGACTGTAGAAGGCTTGATTTTTGGCTGGTTAGAAACGCAGTCAACTCATGAAACTACTTGACAAAGGTGACCGGTTGATATATGGGAAGCAGAAAGGTAAACCCATCCAATACAATAACAGAATGTCAAAAAAAAAGAGCATTTTTTCGGTTTGGGCCAATGCATCCAGCATACTCTTGTGGTGCTTCAATTTCTGGAAGAAGAGCCATGATAGCGCCAATCCCATGAAAAGATATGCCTGCGGCGGAAAGAAACTGTAGCTCATCACCGAAATGAAGAGAGAACGTCTCGATGCGGTGTCCATTTGGGGTAAAGCGTTGCCACTTGCAATCGAACCTCCATGGCTGGAATCTGGAGATGTTTTAATGGGATTGCAACTGGGTGATCCCAATAGAAATGGGATATGATGGGGGGGCATGAAGTCACTGTGATTGTCCACTGTGGGTGATCATAAGTGCGGGATCCCTATCCTGTGAAGTATCTAGCTTGCTAAGCATCTAATCCCTTCCAAATACTAAATACCTCCCCAGAACCCCTGATTGAGTTGGATCAACTTGAGACCCCTAGATTGCGGTAATCTAATTTTCCTGGGATGTGATTACTGACTAAAACTTGCTGGATTAATGACCGAATCGACCGAATCACAAGGTGGTGCCCCCAGTGATGTTGGTGCCAGCTTCAACTTCAACTGCAGATATTAATCTACCGAATCTACCAACAGTTCGTGCAGATATCAACCCACCAACTTAGCTTGAAATTGTGCTTGGGGCACCACCGTGTTTACGACCACCTTGGGGAAGTTTCGAGGTCGCCCGGGTTCCCTGGGTTCCCTGGGTCCCCTGGGTCTGCCGCACCCAGCACCAGTTGACAGCAAACGATGGGAAACGCCCAGATAGGCATCCACGTCGGAACCAGCTCAGCAAGACCCGAGCCCGCCTTGCTGTGGACCGCCAGTTCCCTGAGTCATGTCACCACGGAAGGATCTTTTTCTCTGCCATGAAGAGAACATAAGAGAACTATGGTAAATTAACATAGAGAATATCAGAATGTCTAACGGTATGTTTAGGTAAATTTAAATCATCAATGGGTCATGGCTTCCAGTTCGCAAACTGTGAGTCATTACCGGAACTTAAACTGTCACCATTTAAACGCTCGACTTCATGGATTCGAGCACTCCCAAAATGGCAGTGAATCCCATCGTAACCCAGCAGTTTTACACTAACCCCCACATTTTCCACATGGCTTTGTCAAAATAGTGGGAATCCCCATCTTGTTGCAAATTTCTGGGTAAACTGATTTTCCAACAAAGAGGTGTTCAATAAGCATTTCAAAAAAACTCACATGCTCTTGTTGGATAATTCCCCTCGCTCCACCTTTATTCAAAAGAACCTAACCCCATACCTGTGATCATACGACCAACTTCTAGCCCACATCATCTGACCCCCCTTTTTGAATCTCCACGTTACATAGATACACCACAGGCGTCCGAAGTACGTCTCATCCAACAGCAACACCAGCTGATCTGCATTCGCCACAAAGGCACCGACCGCTTTCAAGGCCTGGGACTTCAGCAGCAGGTTCTCCTGGTCGATGCAGATCCGATCCAACCAGAAGGTGCGATTGGAGAAGAGAGTGCCACCCAGATATGCCAACCTTGGATGGTGCAAAAATCATGGATTTTGGCGATTTTGAAGGAGAAAAAACAAGGAAACCATGGGTTTATCCCTAATTTCTACAGCAACTTTCTCTTGAACCAATGTTTACTTAAGGCCATAAGCCTCAAATGGGGATGCTTAAGCTATTCCATACTCTTCAAATCGGTACGCAAACCTGCCTTAGATGATCACTTGGATAAAGAGGCATGCTCTTCAAACCTCTCAACAGAAGAGTATAAGATCTCGAGTGCAACACCAGGCAGCACAAACACCAATATTGGCGATGCGAACAGGCAGCCAAATAAAAAACCTCAGGGTTTTTCCTATCATATTAAACCCCACTAAACCAGAGTTCAACCCGCATTAAACATCATTAAACCATATGAAACCATATCAAACCACTACAAACCACGTTCAACTTGTTCACCACGTTTTTCACCACTTAGTTTTCACCAACCTTGCGGTTGTTGCGCAACATGTGGGACGGACCATCCAGCCCGCGCCACTAGAATCAAGACCATCAGAAGGCAGAAAAAGAAAAATGAGAAAAGCGCGAAGTCCAAGTTCCTCAGATGAGAGGCTCGAGCGACAAAAATCAGGCGAAATGCCGTGGTTAAACAACAAAAAGGTGCGGTGGAAATAAAATGGTGCTATCATGGGGATATTAATGGGATAGCCACAAACGATGGTCATGGTTGGCATTCACACCATAATGATATAGTTAAATATAACTGGATATCATTGAACATCATCACGTCTCGTTGCATATAAATATTACACATCTTGATGAATCATTAAATTATATAATTATAGGGTGCGGATTTTTTTTTGATTTTTTTTCTTGTTTTGGTTTTTTTTTAATGGTCGTGGGCACGGTTTCCTCACTTTTTCCTTGTTTTCCATTACTTTTCCTTGGTTTTTCATTGGTTTTCCTGCATTTTTCCACACTTTTTCCTCGTTTTCCATTACTTTTCCTTGGTTTTTCATTCGTTTTCCTTCACTTCCTTCACTTTTTCCTCGTTTTCCATTACTTTTCCTTGGTTTTTCATCATTTTCCTCACATTTTCCTTCCTTCCTCAATAAGAAAACAGGAAGGTGGTATTGGGGGGAGGGCTGAGGAGGAGCAGTAGCGTCCACTCAGACTCAGCTAAAGCGTCTTCCCAGGCAACCTTTTCTCTCGGGCGCAAACATTTTCCTTGGATGTTGCCATTGTGCTGATGTTAGAGGTCTATGTTTGAGGTTTTTGGTTTAGGGTTGGTGCGCAGACTTGGAGTTAACCTGTTCATGGCTTGCAGGATTCGTATCTCAGTTGGCAATGCTTAGCTGCAGTTCGGCAAGACATCCCCAGCAGCGCTATTCACAAGGGCTCGCTTGCATTTCATTTTTTCCTCGCGCCAGGTGTGATCTTTGTCACTGCTTCTTGCAGGCTGCATTTGCCTTCGCTTGGGTGCCTGCCAACTGATCAGCAATGTTAGCAGTATGGGCATTTGCGCGCAAATCAGTGGCTGCATCAAGGCCTCCAGCTGTCTGGGAAAGATACCTCATGACCAGTTACCCAGGCATTGCGAAGAGTACTAGGGCACAGAACTGGACAGATCGGCAATACATATGAGGCCGAGGCTTCGGGTTGTTGAGCAAGCCGAAATCAGCAAGTCGTAGGGTACTACGCTGCGCCTTTGCCTGAAGCAATGTTTGATGGTAGGCACTCTCTGTCTCGTATAAGTTTCGGGGGCGGTGTGGCAACTGGGTTGCAAACAGCTTCTTCGGGCGACTTACCTTTTTGAGCCTGAGCAAGGGGCGATGATTTCTGGGTTCGGGGTAGCCAGCGACAAACATCAGACCAGGATTGATGGAGCCAGGCTCCGACATCCGAACTTGAACGCCAAGCGGAAAATGAGAGCCGGACAGCAGCAGCATCTGTTGAAGGTACCTGAGGAAGGACGAAGAGAACGCTGCGAAATTTGTGCCCATGCGTCATTGAGGGACGCATGAAATGGTTGATGGCGGGGTGAGTGTATAGGAGTGTTGAAGAATGAAGCCGACCAAGAGCAATGAGATTTCCGCCCGAAAAAAAAAACGAGGCCCAAGCGGCAGAAGCATGTGTTGATGTTTCTGGAGGTACCTGAGTGGGGAATATAGTCAGGTCATCAGAAATGAGGCATGAAACCATTGATGAGGTAGGAATGTCGAAAGGTAAACCCAACCAAAGCATGAGAGCCAACAGCAGCCAAATTTGCGTCACGCACCTAAGCCAGGACAGGGGGCAATGGGCAAATTTGATTCGTACCATCAAGAATCAAACATGAGACTGAAGATGAACAAAACCACGTAAAAGGATTGAAGCATAATAATAATTTCTTATTGAGTGTATGGGAGTGTTGAAGAATGAAGCCGACCAAGAGCAATGAGATTTCCAACTAACAACACTACAACTACAACTACAACTACGACTACGACTACGACTACAACTACACTACACTAACTACAACTACAACTACAACTGCAACAACAATACTACATTTACACTACACTACACCACACTACACTACACTAATTACACTACACTACACTAGATTCCACTACACTACACTACACTGAATGACACCGCACCACAGGTAGAGCGGTAGACAGATAGACAGACAGACTGACAGATAGACAGATAGATAGATACACAGATAGACAGATAGACAGGTAGACAGATAGACAGATAGACAGATAGATAGATAGATAGACAGATAGACAAATAGACAGGTAGACAGATAGACAGATGAAAGAAAGAGAGAGAGAGAGAGATAGATAGATAGATAGATAGATAAATAGAAAGATAGATAGATAGATAGATAGTAGGTAATTAGATGAAAGAGAGAGAGAGAGAGAGAGATAGATCGATCGATCGATCGATAGATAGATAGATACATAGAAGATAGATAGGTAGGTAGGTAGATAGTCAGAGAAAGAGAGAGAAAGAGAGGAGACCTCAAGCACCTTTCGGTCCATCAGTGCTCTGCCATCCGTGATTCACAACAACCTTTCCTATTTTTGAAACTTCCTCCACCGCCTTGTGCGATACTACTGGTATGGTGACAAAGAACCATGACCACTTGTTGTACCCCGTCCACGCCTACAAAAAAAACAGCAGGAACCCCACGAAAAGCAGCCCGCCGAAAAAGCAGCCGGGCACCCGTGGAACAGCCCGACGGCGCAGGAAAGCAGCCAGAACCACCACAACAACGTGTCCACGCCCACGCACGAGCCCGGGCGCATTGCTTAAAAATCATATGACATAAAATTACAGCACACGCGCAAGAATGAAGAGATGACACCCCTGCCACGCAGCACGCGGCCACGCACGACCGGCCACGCAAGAGCGCAGCACAATCGCACGCAACCTCATAAGGCCACGCGCGACCGGCCACGCAAGAGCGAAGCACGATCGCACGCAACCTCGGCCACGCACGACCGGCCACGCAAGAGCGCAGCACAATCGCACGACCTAGCTCAGGCACATGCGAGGTATCCAGTATTATACCGGCACACGCGCAGGAGTGAAGAACAAACACTACGAACCATGCGGCCACGCACGACCGGCCACGCAAGAGCGAAGCACAATCGCACGCAACCTCGGCCACGCACGACCGGCCACGCAAGAGCGCAGCACAATCGCACGCAACCGCACGACCGGTCAGGCAAGAGCGAAGCACGATCGCACGCAATATAAGGCCACGCATGACCGGCCACGCAGGAGCGCAGCACAATCGCACGCAACCTAGGCCACCGGCGAGGTGCAGTATAGTCCTAGCAGCCCTGTACAAGGTCAAGGAAAAAGTGTTGGCAAGAACGCAACAGCAAAGGAAACCCCCAACACCGCATTTATCTTACGCAGGAGCCAACCCCATCTTGTAGCAAACTACAATTCACCAAAAAAAACATCAATTAAACCAGGGTTGACGAGTTACCAATGGAAATTTAATCCTGCAAGGCTAACGCAAATCTTTCAGTCCTTGCCCTGGAAACAGAAGCACTCTGAGGTTAATCTTTGTTTGAGTCTGAAGTCTGAAGGCCTTTCTTCATATGGTTGTCAGCCTTTTTGCAATCAGCAACCGGTTCTTTCATTGACTCACCCCCCGGATCAGCAGTCCTCTGCTGTCGCCGCATCATATGGAGGGCAAAGTGCGAGCCAAAAAACTAGCAGCAATTTACCAGCAATACACTGTTAGTAGTAAGACTGTATACTACTATACCACTACTGTGCTGGTAATATACCCTTGAAAAAAACAGCAAAATATCAGTACTATACTGCTCAACCATTACTGCTCGTGTTGTACCGGCCTACTGCTATACCAGCTGAGATGTCATACGTCTCTTCCTTCCTTCCTTCCTTCCTTCCTTCCTTCCTTCCTTCCCTTGTCCGAGAATATTTTTTTGCTCCTAATATTTTTTTTGATCCTAATAATATTTTTTTGATCTAGATGCCTCCTTCCTGCCTGCCTGCCTTCCTTCCTTCCCTTTAGGTTGAATATTGCTTTTGATTGCAATAATAGTTTTGTTTGATTGCAATAATAACTGTTTTTGATTGCATGTGCAAAGAGAAAGAGAATGGTACAAGAGAAGAAGAGCCGTAGGAGCCATAGAAGCTAAAAGCCACAGGAGCCGAAGGAGCCATAGGAGCCGAAGAAGCCAGAGGAGCCGGAGGAGCCATGTACCAAAGACGCTAAAAGACAAGAAGCCAGAAGCCAAAAAGCCAAGAAGCCACCAGGAGCCACCAGGGACACAGGAGCCGAACGAGCCACAGAAGCCAGGAGCCACACAGGGAACCGTAGGAGCCACCAGGAACCAAGGAGGAAAAAAAATCCCACCCAAAAAAAAAACAAATTAAATTACCCTGCATATATATATATATACAAATGAACTTACATATATTAGTACCTATATATATATATATCATTCTGTATCGTTGTTAAATTAATTTCATTGCGATGTGTATAGAACGCCTTGGAGTTGCTCCGTCTAGCTTCCCCACTTCCCATGTCTGGACGACGACTCAATGGTAAACCGCCATCTCATGAGAATGGGAAAGTATTTCTGATGGAAAATCAGAAAGATGGATATGGGGAATTGTCCAGCTTGCCAGGGTGCAGATCATCAAAGCATATAGGGATACAAGTTATAGCAGAAATCAGGTGTTTCTCATTGAGATCTAACACGTTTGAACCCAATGATCCAGGTTCAAAAAGTCATGGTCCAAAAGCGGGATTTTGGAAAAACGTTCACTGGAACTTCTGCGCAAAAACAAGTTTCAGGTAGTGCGAAACTGCGAGGAATTTCAGCCAGGAGGTGCATTTCCAAGAGTGGCTGATGTACAAATCAACCCTGGAGACCTGCAGGAATCGGGGACCCCTTCAAGGGTGAAGATTCGGCATTTCCATGGGTCATTATGGGTCCAGTGGGCACAGTGGGCATGGTCTGAAAATTCTGATCATCAGCAATTCTTTCTGCTCGGACAATGTAAGGACACAGGAGACCCGAAGCTGGGGGAATCAATGAATAACTATGACTAACTGCAGTAGATAGTATGTATCTGACAATGTCAAACACCGAAGCTAAATAGTTTCATGATGTTTTAGTCAACCAAGTTGCAACGGGGCAAATTGCTGCCTTATTCTACTGAAAAAAGTATCCCATCTTCTACCCGTCAGGGAACCACTATTTCAGGTATGGAGGTGGTCTAAAAGTTTAAGTCAAACCAGTGCCTGCGGCAAAAATTTGAAAAGCGACGGGAATCTGCTGCCAGAAGTGGGTAACCTGGGCCACTGGGCACGGTTTGCTCTTTAAAAAATGGAGGCTGAACCACCCAGAAACTTGATCATTTTCCGTATGTTTCCTTTTTATCGTCAGTGTCATCATCATCATCGTCCTCCTCCTCATCATCACCTGAACCTGTGATGATCCAAATTTGCAGATCAAACATGTATATATGTATATATATACACATATACATACACATATACATATACATATACAGATATATATATATATAAAGGTACTTGGGAATATTAAACTCCCACCCCCGTTGAACCTTAAATCCCTGTGGGAAAAACAACAAAGGCACTAGGGAATATAAAAATCCCACCTCCGTTAAACTTTACATTTAATTGGGAAGACCACAAAGGTACTAGGGAATATTAAACTCCCACCACCGTAAAACTTTACATTCAATTGGGGAGATCAACAAAGGTACCAGGTAATATTAAACTCCCACCCCCGTTACACTTCTACATTCATTGAAGATCTTCAATAAGGGTTTAATTCTCCCACCCCCGTTAAACTTCTACATTCATTGAAGATCTTCAATAAGGGTTTAATTCTCCCAGCCCCGTTACACTTCTACATTCATTGAAGATCTTCAATAGGGGTTAAATTCTGATGATGATGATGATGATGATGTTGATGATGATGCGTCGCCTGTCGTCATTGCGGGTCCGGGCAAAGCGCAGGCATGTGCCGTATATATGTATACATATATATATATACTGTATATTTACACGTTTCTTGTCAAAGTCACGTCGAGGACAGAAAGTTGCACATGACATCCACGCCAGATGCCGCACGGAAAAGCCCATGATTCTTTGCAAAGGCTGCCTGGTCGCGAATCACCTGCATCGCCCCAAGTTCTTGGTTGGCGCTGCATTCGCGAAGAAAGGCCATCTTTTTGAGCCGAAAGCAAATGGAAAGTGCCAGTGTTGACAAGGGAGGCAAGGTCGAAAGATATTGAAAAAGTGGTGCTAACATGCGCGAACCAAAAAAGACAGGGGTTCAGCAACAAGAATCAGGATGTAACAACCATACGATCGCGGGGTCACAACCCACTAGAATTCTTTTGCACCCCCTGAGACCCTTTTTTTGGCTCCTGAAGCAGCCGATAAAAGCGAGAATCCATGCTGAAAAATTGCCTTGAAAAGGTAATGAACAACAAATTCAATTCTGTTCACCGAATCTCTGTCCCCTGAACCCTGCTTGGCGCCTCCGCTCCTGACCACGTGGGCCTGCCACTGGCTCGTCGTATTCGCAGAGCTGGCTAAACACTTCCTCCGAAACAAAATGAGGGGGGAACAACCGGGCAACCACCAAGAAAACCATGGGTTAAACGGTTAAACATAAGGATTTCACCCAAAAAATGGTTGGATTTCACCCAAAGTCTGGGTTTAACGAACAGAAAATGCGGATTTCAACAACAGCTCTACCGTTTTTGAATGGACTTCACCAACAACAACCTGAAGTCGGGCATAGAACGTGTATTTGGATTGAACCTAGAATGGGAACGTGGAGATTTACCAAATCCAAACCTGCGGGGCTTGCATGGATATTTGGATATGGCGGGGCTGAAACTCACGAAACTCATGTGCCGGGTCTAGCTACCTATCTATCTATCTATCTATCTATCTATATATATATGTATGTATGTATGTATATATATATATAGAGAGAGAGAGATATGGACATATTGACATAGGGACATATTGACATATTAATTTATATATATATATATATAGGTATTGATTGATATATTTGCTATGAAACATGCCAAAGATGTGTCAAGCCATTTGGGACCAAGATGGAGCACTTTACAAACATCTGTGGTTTGGTCCATTTATTGGGGTATGGTTTCGAACGATTTTTCATCGGAAAACCATAGAAACATGACACTGGGAGATCAAAGAAATACATCTGATAGTCGGTTGGCCCCATCAATAGGCTGGAGAAAATCGCGATGATTTTTTGGGCGTGTCCTGAAAAATGGTACGTCGATCCTAATCGAGTGCCCTTGCAATAGTAAAAACGAGTGTCTGATCACTGCCTGGTCATTTGGTATTTTGGCGGTTCTCCGTTCCCACCGTCAAACAACTGTGGAAAATCATACCTCATCATCAAAACTATGAATTAATAGGAAATATCAATCATCATCAAAACGTTAATGGAAATATATGTGGGAAATACCCATCATCAACGGATGTTTCATCATCAAAACTGTGAACTATTGATGAATTTGATGCTGAAATATGATGCTAATTATTGATCATCAAAATACCCATAGGACATATATAGGCAATACATAGGAAATATCCCCTAGATTGATGTTTCATCATCAACGTTTTTGGGGCTCGCCTTGCTCTCGGTGGAGGTGGCAGACTCCAGCAGCACAGCACGGCGCTGGCACTTCCAAATCTCACAGCGCCTTCGGACGTTGGGACCATGTTTAGATCGATGATAAGATGAATATATGCATCAATATATGGGTGATGAATAGGAACTATGGATGAACAGATGAATATGTATCATATATCACATATATGTAAATGAATATTTATTTAAAAGGTTTGGGCTGCAAGGTTCCCCCTCGCAGCTAGTGTAACCTTAGCGGGTCTTCGTCCCTGTGACCCGTGGGCATTTGCGTGCCATTTGTCTCAACCTCTGCGGCAGCTGCGTGATCTGGTGAGCCCTGCGCAGGCTGAGAAAGTTCTGTTCTGCTGTCCCGGCAGCGTTACCCATCCCAGGCACTGATATCATCTCCATTTTCTTGGTCTTCAACTTCCTCCTCTTTGTCATTGACTTGGTGATCGGGCTTGCATCCACCATGGGCATCTCCTCTGCGGGCTTCCTCACCCGGCTGGTCTTCCACTTTGCACCGACATCTTGTACATGCTAAAGTTGTTCCTGACACTGTTCATTTTTCTCGTGGTTGACCCTCTTCTGGTTGCTGGCGGCTACGGCAATCAATACTTGGAGGAGGAGGGCACGTCGGCTTCGAGCACAAGCCAGACTTCAGCGGCACCTCTTGGTCAAAGGCCGTCTGAGTCTCTCCTCGTTGTATCACTATGGCAATGTGGAAGGTGACCAAAGACCCATGGAGATGTTTGAATTGCAGCAAGTTGAATCGATTCAACATCAACTGCTGCGGAGACTATGGAGGGCATTGGGAAGATTTTCCGGATCACAGCATTGTACCTCCGAGCCAACAAGGCCAAAAGCAGCACAAGCAAGCGACAAAATATCGCAATCCTTCGCCGAGAAGACCGTCCCCGAGAAGGACCTACACCAGCTGGTTGCACGAGGAGCCCTGGAATGGGCAAGATTGGGGAGAGGCGTATCAAGAAGGCAATGGATCTCCTCGACAACGCACAACCTCGCCGAGACAGAGAACTGTTCCGAGGAAAGCCAGGAAACCAAAGCAACCCAAGCCTCAGAAGGGCGAAGGCAAGGGGAAACAAAGCTTCAAAGGCAAGCCAGAGATTGCGCCTCCTCCATGGGTGGCCAGCGCAGCGTCGAAAGCTGCGCCAGCTCCAGCAGCTCCAACAGCTGCACAATCCAAAGTCGAAACAAAATTGCAGGAGCTTGTGACTGCGATGAACAAGAAGAAGGACACCCTGGACCCAGACCTTCAAAATCTGGCCCAAGAGGCTGCGCAACTGCAGAATCAAAGTGCTACTTGACGTGTGCGGCTTGCAGTCATGGCGATGTCAAGACCATATTTCTCGAGGCCAGGAAGGCCCGTGCCAACCTTCACGCATCATGGAAACAGTACTTGGATGCAGCCATCGCTACATGGAAAGGCTTCCTGGAGGACTTCGACAAAGAGGACAGGAAGTTAGAAGAACAAATCGAACTGGCCAAGACAAGTCTTGCGACCGCCCAGGAAGTTCTGCAGGACGAGGCCGATTCACGAGGGAGCGCCTGGACGATGGAAGTTCCAAACCATCCTCCAAACTGCTGCTATGCAGCCTTTTGGCGGGGCCGGTCGCTAGACGTTTCTGTTAGCGGCCAATGGCCCGATGGCCAGAGTGGATCACTTTTGAAATGGACCCACTCCATACTATCTGAGCCATCCTTTCTCAGTGAGTGGCAGGCGGTTTGCAATGGTTTGGATCTGGCCTTTGACCTTGGGAGTTGGACTGGTCAGGAACTGCCGAGCCTCATGCACATTTTGTGCCCTCAATTGATCACCGTGCTCGAGTTCGCTATCAAGAGCACATTGAGATCGCCCTTTGTCCTCAAGATGATGATTTGCACTTTTTCAAGTACCACAGTTCTGGCATAAGCCATGAAGTCTTATTGACGTGGACGCCGCCGCCGCCGCCGCTGGCGGATGAGGATGAGGATAAGGATGAGGATGAGGATGATGATGATGATGATGATGATGATGATACCGAACATTTCCCTCTGACATACGACCCCATGTATCCAACCTTTGGCTTGGCGGCTTGCTAAAGCGCGTGCCCCCCTCAACACCAAGTGTTATGGGAGAGCAGTCCTTCGCAAGGACGGTTCTGTGGGTTTGGGTGCGGTTTCAGTTTGTGTGCTCTTCCATGCGTGCGTTGGTGCAAAAATTGATGCTGAAATGTTTATGACTGTGTTCACTTGTGCGCCCCTATTTTGTTTTCACACGCCCTACTGAGGGTCACCGCCTAGGCTGGTACAGCCCCGGGGGTGCAACAGCTGATGCTTGAAAGTCATTTGGCTAGCCGGGAGAAGAACCTTCACCCAGATGCCGGCACTGGGTGCCAGTTTGTAGCAAGAGGGTTGGCTGGCGTGGGGAAAGCGCGGCCAACTCCTCTGCAGCAGCCCGATCCGCTGGCGCATACTGCAGCAATTTGCTGAGTATGTCGCCGGCCTTCGGTGGAAGGCGAGCGCTGCCGTGCCAAAGGTAAATTCAGGGTTCCCGTGGCTGTGCAGGTCTTGCACGGACCTCACAAAGCATTGACAAATCACCAAGATCAGCCAAAGTGTAGGTTCCCGGTCTGTGTTGTTTGACTTGTCAACATTCTGGTTCTGAGAACCTGGCGGGGGGAAGTCCCCAAAAAGAGTTGCCACAGCGTCACCCCTGCCGCCCACTGGTCTGCTGCTTTTGTGGGCGCAGACTTGGTTGGAACGCATCGGCCGCCAGAATGAAAACACTGCAATCCAAGCACCGGGCCAGCTCTGGGCTGAAGGGAGGCTGATCCACAGCAGTTTTGAAGGAATACCCTCCAGCTCTCAATGGAGGACTGGCTGCGGGTTTCCTAGATGCTATTGGGCAGTGCAGCTATGACAGCAAGCTTACTGTCCCGATTTCCTTTTCCGAGCGTTATGATTCCATGATGTGGATAGACTATGGAAGACATCGGGCAAGACTTTGCAGGTGGAACCTGCAGAAGAACCAGGATTTCAGCTGATTGTGCAAGTCGCAGCGTGCCCATGCAAAAAATTAATATTTAATCTGTTTATGGATCAATAGTGGATGAATAGTTCATCTTCATCCAGTGTTATTGATCTGGGATGAATACGAATTTATAGTGGATGAATCGTGGATAATGAACCCATTCATAATGGATGATAGTGGATGATAGTGGATGAAGAGTTAATAGTGGATGAGAATCCATGAAGAAATGGAAGAACTGGGATGAAATCATTAAAAAGAATCCACTATACAAAATCAAGAAATAACACCAAAGGGATTTCAATGAAAGAATCCATTCATCAAATCCCAAATGCTACAATTAGGATGAGAATATGACAAACCGCTATATAGTCGTTCCATGTGAAATGGAAGAACTGGATAGAACAAAATGGTTTTACATGTTAATGAAAAACAATTTATTGTTAACTATGGTGTTCATTGTCCAATCAGTAAATAAATCTTGTTAACAACATTTATGAACCATGAACCGAGGGGAAACATGGGGAAAACCATGAAAAAAGTCTTCAGGAATGATAACACAACTGGGATGATAATCCATGAATCATCCACCCAAACCCATGGTCCTTCGGTTTCACCAACCAAGATTTCAGAGTGCATCAGCCACTACTGGCCATTCTCGAAATGTTCCAACAGTGATCGAAAATCCCTTGAGTCATGAAAGATCGTAATTTCCATGAATCATCCAGGAATGTGTTGACTGGTGATTTTCCAAGGGCCAAAAATACGAGGTCATGGGCAGCATCTGAAAACCATGGAAAACCATATGACTTGGAAAACTGAGCTGACCAACTTAAAGGGAAAACTGATGCCAAACCATGGTCTTTCCTATCAAATCTAAGGGGGCTTCATGTACTTTTACCAGTTCTACCAGTTCTGGTGCTGGCCAGAAACCAACAATTCTGGTGACCAACTACAAAACGCCATGGCAAAATCCCTGATTCTAGTTTTTACCACCATTCTACCATTCTAATCGTTCTTGTGAAAACACCAAAATGTTCTGGTTGTAAAAATATCTAAACATCTCCGAAATGAAAAAAGATGTTGAAAAATATTCATGTAATACACAGAATCTCCAAATATATCTATTCATGTGATGTTTAACCATCTTTCTCCGGCAAGTCCCTCATCCCGCAGCTCGCCAAAGTCACCCGATGGAGTAAGCGAAGGTGTCGCCTGGCAGTTCCCGGCACAGAGCGACTAAAAATGTCCTGTTTTTTTTAACAAAATATGGATCAAAATAAATAAGTATATTAATGTGTATTCATGTGCATTAATGTGTGTTAATGTGTATTAATGTGTATTAATGTGTATTAATGTGTATTAGTGTGTATTAATGTGTATTAATGTGTATTAATGTGTATTAATGTGTAAATTAACGTGTATATGAATGTGAGTATTAATGTGTGTATGGATGTGTATATGAATGTGAGTATTCATGTGTGTACGAATGTGTATATTAATGTGTATACTAATGTGTATATGACAATAATGTGCATATAATGTGCATATTAATGTGTAAATTAATGTGTATATTTATGTGAGTATTAATATGTATCTTAATGTGTATGTTAATGTGTATATGAATGTGTATATGTGTCTATTAAATGAATGTGTATGTTAATGTGTATATTTATGTCAATTTTATTGTGTATATTACTGTGTGCATAAACGTGTATATAAATGTGCATGCTAAGGTGCATATTAATGTGTACTTTTATGTGTATATTAATGTGTATGCTAAGGTGCATATTAATCTGTAAATTAATGTGTATATTAGTGTGAATATTAATGTGTATCTTAGTATATGAATGTGTGTATTAATGTGTATATTAATGTGTGCATGAATGTGTATATTGATGTGTATATTAATGTGTAAACTAATGTATATATTAATGTGTGCATTAATGAAATCATCAATGTGTATATTAATGTGTATGCTTATGTGCATATTAATGTGTATGTTAATGTGAATATTAATGTGAGTATTAATGTGTATATCAATGTGTACTTGTTCTGTGTATATTAGTGTGTATATTACTGTGTATCTCAATGTGTGTATTAATGTATTTCTTAATGTGAGTTGCCATGTGCGCATTAATGTATGTATTAATTACTGCGTGTATTAATGTGTGTATTGATGTGTATGTTAATGTGCATAATAATGTGTATGTTAATGTGAATTTTAATGTGAGTATTAATGTGTATATTGATGTGTAGATGTTCTGTGTATATTAATGTGTGTATTAAGTAGTGTGCATCAATGTGTGTATTAATGTGTATCTTGATGTGGATATCACTGTATATTCATCTACAGGTACTATATTGTGATAACAACGGATGGAAAACTTGTATAATAATACATACAATATGTATGCTAACGTAGATTCAAAGACATATACAAGTTATTCAAAAACCTATGTTACACCAATGAACCATTATTGGCCTGAAAATAACATGTATCACTTCCATTAATGGATGATTAAGATATAGTGACGGATAATGAAGTTGGGTATCGTACCCACCAAGAATCATCCACAATGAAAATGAATCTGGCGATTTGTGTTCCATTTTGTCGTATCACCCTGGCGAATGGTTGGAATCACTAGCAGCAACCCATCCCTGATTGACAACTGGGTTTGTGCAAGTGTAACCTGAATGGAAATACTTTGCTATTGATACTTTCCTGTTTCAAATCAGGATTTGGTAATTTTGGTCCAACCACCGATAGACATACATCTCGGTGATACATCTGAGGATGTCTTGGGGAAATGCTACGCATTTCAAACGACCTCATCATTTGTCGTACGGAATAATTAGGAGGAAGACAGGCAACATTGAATTCATTGAGATTGCTTGATCCATGCCGTTTGCCCAAGTGTATACCTACCCCCTGTTATATTCTGTAGTTTATATAAAATCATCTAACTAAAGGTGTGTATTAAACGTATACCATAAATCATACTTCCTGTGGCCTAGTTCTAAAGCCACTTAGCAAAATCAACTAAGTGTGGGGCACCACCTCCCATAGGGGTCGCATCATTCCCTCCTTTATTGTTGTAGGGAAGCTACCCAAACTTTATCGGCCGTGTTTTTTGCTGAAGCAATGGAAATAGATAGAGCAGTAGGACCGTTGGACCTCAACTGCTGTTCAGCTCCATTTTGCTGGTTTAAACTTTATAAACCCAATGTCTGCTGGTCAAATGACTATCTCTCGGACAGTCTATTCCTGGTCAGTGACTTTGATTACTGTTCATGGTGAAGACCATTTTTTCCCGAATGCATAGCAAGGATTCCCGTTTCACTCTGGGGGTCTGGAAGTTGAGGGTGTGCTCGCTCGACGTTGCCCAACCGTTCGCAACCGTCCGCAACCGTCCGCAACCGTCCGCAACTGTTCGCAACGTCCGCAACCGTTCGCAACCGTCCGTGCGATCCCCGTATGGCAGTACCTATGGTAAGTTCTGCAAAAGGGGTCACTTTTGGAGGTTTCACATGTGGCGTTGCTTCGTTTCACGTGGCAAGCGTGGCACTTCGTGACATTCAGACGTGTTTGGCAACGTGTCGAAAATCATTTTGTGTGGCAGGCGCAATACTTTTGCGAGGTTTTCAGAAGATGTGTTGCAGTTTTCGTGGCAGGCGCAGCACTTTGGACGTGTCCATCGCCATTTTGCGTGGCAGGCGCAGCACTTTAGACGTGTCGTGTTGCGTGTTTTTTGCGAGTCGCATTGGCAGGGCTGCGTCAAGTGGTGACAAGGTGCAAATTCCGTGGCCGGCGTGGCATTTTGTGAGATGTGACGAAAATTGATGGAAGCTTCGCGCGAAACATCGATTTTGAGGTAGCAAATTTTCAGGTTCTAAGGGAACCTCGTAGGCAAACATCGATTTTGAAGCTACAAAGTGTCAAAATTGGAGGAAGTCTGGCACGAAATGCTCGTTTTGATGCTCCCACGTGTCTCGTCTCGAGTCTCTGGTTTTCCTGTGGCCTCGCCGTGTCTATGGGGGAAGCTACAAAACCTCTCCTTTTCAAAGGTTTGGAAGCCGGTTGTCATGTCGTTTTGCGTGGCAAGCGCGGCACTTTGTGACATTCCATCCTGTTTGATAACGTGTCAAAAGTCGATTTGTGTGGCGGGCGCAATACTTTTGCGTCATTTTCGCAAGATGAGTTGCAGTTTTCGTAGCAGGCGCAGCATTTCGGAGATCTCGTCGTCATTTTGCGTGGCCGGCACAGCACTTCAGACGTGTCGCATTGCGTGCTCTACACTCCACACTCTACACTCCACACTCCACACTCCAACCTTTACACTTCACACTCCACACTTTACATTCCACACTTTACACTCTACACTCCGCACCCTACACTTTACGCTCTACACTTTACACTCTACACTTTACACTCCACACTCTACACTCCACACTCTACACTCCACACTCCACACTTCACACTCCACACTCCAAACTCTACACTTTACACACTCCACACGACACTCCCCACTTTACACTTTAAACTCCACACTTTACAGTCTACACTCCACACCCCACACTTTACACTCCACACTTTACACTCCACACTCCACGCTCTACACTTTACACTCCACACTCCACACTCCACACTTTACACTTTACACTCCACACTGTACACTGTACACTCTACACTCCACACTTTACACTTTGCACTCCTCACTCCACAGTCTACACTTTACACTCCACACTTTACACTCCTTACTCCACACTCTACACTCTACACTCTACACTTTAAACTCTACACTTTACACTCTACACTTTACACTCCTTACTCCACACTCTACACTCCACACTCTACACTCCACACTTTACAATTTACACTTTACACTCCACACTCTACACTCCACACTCTACACTCCACACTCTACACTTTACACCCTCTACACTTTACTCTGCACACTTCACACTCTACACTCCACACTTTACACTCCACGCTCCACACTCTACACTTTATCCACTGCACACTCCACACTCCACACTGCACACTCCACACTCCACACTTTACACTCCAGACTCCTTACTTCACACTCCACACTCCACACTCTACACTTTACACTTTACACTTCAACTGTACACTCCACACTTTACACTTTGCACTCCTCACTCCACAGTCTACACTTTACACTCCACACTTTACACTCCACACTTTACATTCCACACTCTACACTCTACACTTTAAGCTCTGCACTTTACACTCTACACTTTACACTCCTTACTCTACACTCCACACTCTACACTCCACACTCTACACTCCACACTCTACACTTTACACCCTCTACACTTTACTCTGCACACTTCACACTCTACACTCCACACTTTACACTCCACACTCCACACTCTACACTTTACCCACTGCACACTCCACACTCCACACTGCACACTCCACACTCCACACTTTACACTCCAGACTCCACACTTTACACTCAACACTTTACACTCTACACTCCACACTTTACACTTTACACTCCTCACTTTACACTCCACACTTCACGCTTTACACTCCACACTCCACAGTCTACACTCTACACTTTACACTCTACACTTTACACTCTACACTCTACACTGCACACTCCACACTTTACACTCCAGACTCCACACTTTACACTCAACACTTTACACTCTACACTCCACACTTTACACTCTACACTCCACACTCTACACTCTACACTTTTCACTCTACCCTCTTCCGCATTCCACAGTCTACACTGCACTGGTACGGTAACAGGGGAAAAATGTAGACTGTTCAAATAACTTGTTTCACAATAGTGTTCTACGTGACTGCATTCGGGTTCGTGGGCTGCATCTTGTTTTGTTCATATTCGGCTTCGCCCATTCAACCACTGCAGTTTTCATAACCAAGAGATGACTGATAGTTGGTTCAACCATAATTTTCAACCACTTTCCAAAATCATTCAATTGGGACCACCAAAATGAAATCTAAACCATAATCATTCACCAATTTTTGGACCACTTTCCCATGTTTTTGCTGTTGTTAAACCTCTCAAAATCTGCCTTTCAAACGCCGCGTTTCTTGCAGGCACTCGCGTTTGCCGGTGGTTTCCTTGGTCACCGAGAGCAGGTCGGCGGGAGGATGTACTGGGGATGTTACCACCAAAATCTGTAGGCTTTCGCCACCAGAAGATTGGAATTGACCCAGGGATATTCACAGATTTGGGTCCTCAGATATCTTTGGAATCAAACCAACATGATTGGAATTTAGCAACAAAAAACAGTCCCCCCTGAAATGAAACATGGCTAGGAAAATCCGCGAGCCATATCTGGCAGGTGAGCCTGTGATTCCGGGAATGAACTAAAGAATCTTGGGTTGATGTTTGTTCTTAGTTGAAATCCTATGGCTATGGAAGACAAGCTTCAGAATTTCCAAAAAAAATTGCCCCTCATTTGGATGCAGAACCCAAATAAGGGATGATTTTCGCAAAAACTTTGGTGCTTTACAAACGATGATTGTTTCCGTCTCTGGATTTCGAAGTTGTTGACCCTGTTTGACCTGGCCAAGTTGACAAATGGGAGCTTGGACTCAGGCCATGGTGGATAGCGCTTCAAGTTATGGGTCCCAAAAAATGATATCACCCAGTCACCCAGTACCCAGGAATATCTCTGGTTTTCTCTGGGCAGTCTTGGAATATCGAATCATGGGAATATCACCGACATTTCCATGAGATATTCCGAGATTCCCTAGAGTACGACTCATGAAATCAGGCAATGATTCGTGACAAATTCGTTCTCCTTGATGATATCCCCTCGACTCATGAACAATTTTCGAAAAGGGCGCACCTCGATAGTTTTAGTTGGGTATAAATCGGTATAAACCAGTTGAGTTTGCGATGGAAAATTGCCATTTCTAGGTCAACTATACATATGTATCATATGCCTGTTTTCCGATCGTTGACTTAAACTCAGTTCTCCATGGTACTTGATGGATCTTGATGGTACCCCATGAAACCACTCGCCACTCTTCATAGCTCATCTGCATCCCAGCAACTTGTCCATGCCTCGATTGGAGGCCACAAAACGCATCAAGGGTGCATGACTATCTGAGTAGGTGCTAACCTGTAAGCTGGTAGCTTCTCCAATCTTGTCTATTCAGTTCTATTCTATATATGATATGTATAATTACATAGGTACCTAAGGGATAAACATATCATATACCCTAAGCTGAAGTTGGAGTTAGTTGGAGTTAGTTGGAGTTAGGGTATGCTCCAGTCCAAATCATGGCAGGTCATCCAATTGCTGCTTTCCCATGGCTTTCAACGCCATCAGCTATGACGAACATGCTTCCAATGCGCGTAGTCCAAACAATGATGCTTCCCAATGATCATGAAAATCACAAGTACAGCAGGAAATGGATGTGCATGGCCTAGTATTCAGTATGGGTCCAGTCAACACATTGAACGAATGAGTGGAAGCCCTCCTGAAAGCCTCACCATCTGCTGATAATTGTCCAGCTTCAAAAGCCCATGCTCGTTGCTGCGAAAACGCCCAATTTCCAGGTGGAAGCATGTGAAAACCACCATGTCACAATGTTTTCCAACAGATTACAAAGTTTACAAGTCTCAAACGGGTCAAACCACCATTTCTTCCATTTTTCCACAAGAACCATCATCTTCCCTGCCGTGCCAAGGCAGCCAAGGCACTGGTTGAGCTCAAAGATCGCGCCCGTTTGCACCTCCAATTGCTGACATCCACCAGCCACTTCCGGCCTCGGAAATGACTTGATTCGTTGATAGGTTTCAATGTTCCTCACTGGGTTTTGATGGGTGGATCTTATTTCAGCTAACCAAAGTTAAAATAACCTGGAAGGATTCGGTACGTTGAAGGGGGGCCCTTTATATATATATATATATGTATGTATATGTATGTATATATATATATATTTGGTCTTGATTTTCAATGTGTGAAACCCTGGGGCTCTATTCCAGTATGTGTTTAACTTGGAGGTGTGGCTTGTGCGGATCATCATAGTGATAAATCACAATGCAGATCAACAGCTCCCAAAGCAGTGAACGCCCCGGGTACGTTTGGGGGGTACATAAATTGGGCAAATTTAGAGGCAAAAGTACCAAATCTGAAGCACATGGCATTTTTCAAGCGGTTGATCTGTCGTTCTTACAAGTTTCGTATCAAGTTGTATCCAACTTGAGGCCAGGGGGGAGGTACGAAAGCTAGCAGGGCTGGGGTAGGGTGGTAATCGTAAAGGGGGATTAGCAAGGTGAAGTCGGAACGCGGCAACGGTCTCACGTGGTTTTTTGGAGTTGCTGAAAGTCACAAACAGTGCCAATCTTTTGATGTTGATGAGGTTGCTGACCAGAACGATGAAGGAAACTGATGATGACGAAAGTGATGGCAACAGAAATGAGTTGATGACGACGATGATGAGGACGAAGAGGATGATGAGGATGATGAAGATGATGGGGATGATGAGGATGATGAGGATGATGAGGATGATGAGGATGCTGAGGATGGGAATGAAGATGAAAATGAGGATGGTGATTATGATGAGCAGAGCTGTTGTAGGGTTGCAACATCTAGTGAGTCCAGCAAGCAAAAACCTCCCAATGCAGTAATCGTCTCTTGCCAAGTGTTGTAAGCAAAAGAAACGTACAATAAAAAAAAATGGAAGCCCGAATCTGCATAAAGATGTTCGAGACAATGCAACATATGTATACATATGTATGATGATGATGAGGATGAGGATGATGATGATGATGAGGATGAGGATGATGATTTTGTTGATGATGATGATCATCATCATCATGATGACGACGATGATGATGCTGATGATGACGACGAGGAGGAGGAGGAAGATAATTATGATCATTTGGAAGCCGGCAAGTTTCCGATGATGATTTTATAGAGTTGCTGGTTGGTTTACTGAACATGACGTCCTGAAGATGAAATACTGAAGAGGACGACCCTATACCTGATCAACGATGAGGAGGACGAAGAGGATGATGAGGATGAGGATGAGGATGAGGATGAGGATGAGGATGAGGATGAGGATGAGGATGAGGATGATGGTGATGGTGATGATGATGATGATGATGTGGATGCTGCGGATGATGGGGATGATGAGGATGATGATGATGATGGTGATGATGGTGATGATGATGATGATGATGATTATGATGAGGATGAGGATGAGGATGAGGATGAGGATGAGGAGGGCGAGGATGAAGATGAAAATGAGGATGATGACCCTCTACTAGCCGCCTGCCTCTTCCTTGCTAAAGCAAGAGCAACTTCAGCTAGCACAGCTAGCTTTCGTGAAAAATGATGGTTTCATAAAATCCACAGGAAGTTGATAGGATGTTCAACCGTCAACCGCATGTGAATTGCACACCAATTCCTCTCAAGCTACAATTTGCTGGAACGCTTCGATTTCTCATACCATCGCAGTTTTGTTGGAGGAATTCCCAACTTTGCCTGAAACCTGGCCTAGTTGGATGTTCATCCTACAAGACATGGTCCCATTTCCATCAGACCCATCACTTGAAAATGAAGCACCCCGAGCCCACGGGTTTATCATCATTTTCCCCGTTAAAATACCTTCTGGTAAACTAACATAGCTATGGAAAATTGCCCATAGAAATAGATGGTTTACCTATTAAAAATGGTGATGTTCTATAGCTATGTTAAATTACCAGAGTGTAACCATACGTTAGGGGTGTAGCCCATTTGTAGACAAACTGTACAACTGCCTACTGTATGCACCCAACAAACTGCAAAGAAATGGCCCATTCCTATGATGGAAATGAGTATTTGCAGTACACTAGGGATTTGTTTAATGAACTTATCAATGGTAAATAAAACGAAATCATAGTGTCTATTATATGACAATCTAGAACAAATCAGGAATGAAAATGAATATATATATATGGAATATACTAATTATGTACTGATTCTCTTTGTAAAAATGATAAAACTATAAGTAATTATATAATCAGTATATAATCACTTCGTAGGTGACTTAGTATGATAAACTATGAGTAATTATACTCTATTCTCTTTACCATTAGTTGGTGACCATTAGTTTATCAGTTGGTCATCAATTGAGTCACCCTTAGAACATCCCCCCATGCTGTGTAGCGGCGCAGCAAGGTAACACCGCCGCAGGGGTGTCAGCCCAGCAGCCGCCGGGCGCACGGCGCAGCGGCGCAGCGACACGTGGCAGACCTTCAACAAAATTGTGCATTGCATGTAGTATGAGCTTACAGCTCTATCAATCTCTACGTGTATATATATATACTGCTAAGTACGACACTGCGTAACATTGCTGCCTTGAATCTTTCATATACACAGTATATATATATATATCATTCATTGGTTCTATATAGTGATATAAATTTCATATACAATGGAGAATGGTATATATATATGTATATGACAATAACAATATATACATATATATATATATATAGTATACATATATAGTATAGATATCATAGATCTACACATCGACATAGGGATATAACGTGCGCGACTGTCGCCGCCTCGGATCGATCCACAAAGGCACCCAAGTCCAAGGCCACGCGGCCTGCGCCATGCGCTATATCCGGGTCTATCCGCAGCTGTATCTATATCACTATATCTATGTATGTATGTATGTATATATATATATAGGCTATATATATATACATAGGCTATATATATACATATATATATATGTACAGATATATATTTTTTTTTTGCTACGGCCTTTTGTGACTGAGTTAGTCGCGGCGAGCAGTGAATTCAGAACTGTACCTGAGCTTCATCTCCTGGGTTTCTGCTGGTGACGAGGGCAATAATCCGGGCCAAAGTGCTCCCCAAAAGTCGTGACGTGCATGGAGCGACATCTGGCCAAAAAAGCTTCCTCAGTCACCGCATCGTGAGTTAAAGGTACCTGCAGGAGACGGAATGCGAAGCTTTCCCCCAACGCACGGTTCAGTGCGGGGGGGTATTCTTTCAAACTAGAGGTGGCCCACTGGCCTTCTTTGGTTTTCCCAATCGCTGCACTCCTGGGTAAATCAGGGCACAGTCGATGGCTGTGCAGAAATTTCGGCAAGCTGGACATGTTCAGGGTGAGAAAGCGAGTGGGTTTTGGGGACTTTGCGCCCAAAAGCCCCTGTGCGAAATCGACAAACTCAAACCCTGGTAATTGCCGCAAAAGCTGCATGATTGGGAGTCGCCAGATAGATGGTTTCGTCTCATCATCCGGCTCTCCAGGATGTTCTAAAACACCTAGGCCCTCAGAGCGCGCTAAGCAAATCAGCAGGTCAATGGAGAAGAGAAGCAGCTCATTCCCGATGGCCACCTGTCCCAGTTCTCGAAGGGAAAGAGAAGGAAGCCCCCAAAGCCACTCCAATGATCTCAACGGTCTCGGCTGTCGACCAGATCCTTCATCCACATTCGCAAATCTTGCTTGGCTCCATGTTTCGCAAGGTGGACCGCAGAGGCCCCCTTGCACAAAACCAGAAAGGGCCCCGCGCAACCAAAAGTCTCGCGTTTCTTGTTTGCAAGCATTTCCCCAATCGGGGTCAATCACTACATCCATGGAGACAACGTGCAAAACAATGCCATCAGCATTTCTCGCAAAGGCTGCCTCCAAATAGTGTTGGAGGTCTCCTGGACGGCGCCGACCGGAGAAGGCGTGCAAAAACACACGTTCTCGTCCGATCTGTCTGGGAACGGCATTTTTTGCTGGAGCAACCTGTGTCATCTCGATCTGCTGATTGATGTCGTCCATCGAGGGCACAGCTGGAGGTGGCACACTCTGCAACTGGTCAAGGAAGGGCCACTCTTCCACTGTCGCCAGTCGATCCAGCACTCGTTTGCACATCTGGAGATGTGTCTCATCCACATCCAGAAATCCAGCTTCCAGTTGTCTCCGTGCTTCCAGGAGAGTAATTCTACACTTGGTCCAGGAGATGGGATGTTCCTGGATGCAGGCGCGGACATGGTCTTCATATGAGGCGATGGTGTCGTCCAAAATGCCCAGGATCACATTCTCATAGAGCACATGGTGTTCAACATCAAAGTCACGTCCGTGGACGGCAGGAAGGTGCGGCCCTGCGGCCACCAACGGAGGAATCTTGTTATCCCATTTGACCAAACGGGCAGTGTCTTCAATCGAACCCAAACCCGGTTGAACTGGTCCACGATGTCCACGTCCGATCAGGGCGGTACGACACTCAGTAGACCTGAGAAGGTGCATCTTGAGTTTCCCCATGGTATGGTACTCCTTCAAGCAGGCGCTGCACTGAGTGCTGTCCATGAGGTGTCGAACAGGATTGATCTCTCCGTGCACTCTGTGCATGTGCGCTCCCTCACCTCCCAAAGTTCTGCAGGCTCGCCGGCAATGCATGCAGCCATATGCTTGCACGGTGGTGCGAGCTTCACATTGGTCTGGTGTATCGGGGGCGATAAATTGATCCTGTTTCAAACCTTCCAGGAAGCGCAAGTGGGCCGTTGCAATGAGATAATCTCGGTGTTGTACACCAATAGTGTTCAGCCGCACGCCGCAAAAGTCTCTTCCAATAGCCGCGGTGGCGTTGAATAATCTCCAACCACCGTGGGAGATGGGTGTTTGGATCACCAAGATTGCAGCTATGGTGAAGTTGGTGCCAAAGCCATCTAAAATCATCCTGCACCAACAGAAGCCAATCTGAATCTTGGTTGAGAAGGCCCCAGCACGCTGTTTCGCCCACCGCAAACAGTGACCCCAAGTAGCGCAGCCTTCTGAGTCTCAACATGGTGGTTGGCGATGGCATTTTCGTCCGGAACAGCACTTCATCATCAGAAATCGGGCAATGTCCAGGACTGCGGAGGAGTCGCTTGAGGAGGCCCATAATGCTTCCATGCAAGTATTCCTTCGTTCTCTGATCTGAAAAGGTCCATGTCTCTGATCCATAAAGAAGGCGACTCATGATGAGGCTTATATAGATATATATATATGTATATAGATATCTGTGAACTGAAACAATAAATATATCTGTCTGTCTGTGCGTGTGCATGATCAGATCATGCTGATGAATGACAAGAGTAATTCTGTCCGGTTGGAAAAATATCCTCAGTGACTCAATGGCCACTGATCAAATCCAGTTGGTGACATGACTTTCCTCGTGTTGGTCGTGGCTTCCCCATTCCCCCCCATGTCTGGCAGCGTTTGGCAGCTACCCCAGTTTTTTGATTCCCCAACAAATATCCCAATAAAATCTCCACAACAAATGGCATTACATCTGTTGAGCCATTTCAGTAGCGTTAAAAATGTCGTAGCTACCATTTGTTCAAGGCCTAAATTTGCGAAATTCTCAGGGGATATACCCCCCCAAAGTCGTAAGTTGGCTGTCTGGTGAGCTGCCACTTCCCCACCTTGATACTCGTACATTGAAGGGCCTAGACCTGGCGAAGCTGAACTTCCCGAGCCAATTTTTTATGGTCAAATTTTATGGCCCTCATAGCCCATCCCCCAACTATATGGGCTATATATGGCTATATGATATATGGTTATACCGGCTATACCCCCCAAAATAGATGTGAAAACTTGGAAAGCCCATCAAAGATATCAAAGCATGGGCTGTAAAATGCCAGGTCTGCCAGGTCAAAAGATCTGTGCTATGCTGTGCTGGGAGGAAAATGACAACATCTTGGTGATATCACCTGCCATGATGGATTGACTTCAGCCTTTCGAAAATGTCGAAGTGATTCGGAAACATTCCATCCACGTGAACCACAATCTAAGTGCTGATATGGTACAGTCATGGATAGATGAAAAACAAAGGAGGTGTATAATATCATCGTTCTTCTCAGTGTTATGTCCGACATTTCCTCCAAGTCTCGTGAACAAAAATCCTTTCTTTCAATCCTCTCAACCAACAATAAAAAGACTACAGCATTGGAAAAACTACATGTTCAACAAAAAGAATGGTTAGCCTTTTTTGGTTGATAATTTGGAATGTCGTCCATGAAATCATCAAAATCCAAACATTGAATCCGTGATGTGTTTCCTCTTAATTTCCTAATATGTTCCGTATGAAGTCCCTCATGAAATTCAATGTTAATGAGATTTTTATGACCAACTACCGACTATTTCCCAACATTCAATACCTGTGTGCGTTGGTAATGTCCAATATCTTCCAATATTGGTTGTTATACCCTCTGGTAGTTTAACATACAGTAGCTATTGAAAAAAAAACGTTTATAGATGACTTACCTATTAAACATGGACTGTTCAATAGCTATGTTGAATTATCAGAGGGTAATTGGCTAATTTCCCACTATATCCCATTGATATATCCCAACAGCATCCTTGTTTTCCATCGAAATAAATCCGAAGTAAATATGGGGTTCCAGCTAAATAGGAATCCAACATTGAATCCCATATCAAATCGCTCTTTCCCATCATTATCCAAAATGTCCCATCATCTTAAATCCATATTAAATCCAATGCTCTTCCATATGTTCCATATGAAATTCTTATTTTTCATGGTTTTGCGCAATGAAATCCCCCTGTGTTCTCCATCGTTGAACAATATTTCCCACGTTGAATCCCATCTTAGATAGGAATCCCAGATTAAAGCCCTGTA